TAGGGAATTAGATAGTTCTCAATTGATAAGCTATAACTGACTAGCCAATTTCCAATCAACTAAAAGCCAGTTGCACTGACCCATCCAATCCAATACACCCCTCCTCTCTCCGTGCATGCAACCAACAGCTGAGCGTAATCCGTATAGACAAAATTGGCGTCTCGTGGGGTTTTCTCATCTGTTTTAGCTGTTACCGTTGCACGTTTTTCGTTTTGTTTTGATTTTGCTACTTCTACCCACACACATGCACGTACACATAAGCACACACACAAGCACATATTGTTAGCGCTAGCTCACATAGATACTCGAGTCGGCTGCCGTTTGTTCGTTTTTCGCTTTTGTTTTGTTTTAATTCTTTTGCTTCGTCGAGTCCAAAGATAAAGAATGAAAATCGTGTTGTATGACACGGCAACTGCACTGAACAATTGCTAGGCTGCCGCTGCCAGTTCTAGATACTTTTGGCTAGCGCTCAGTCGCAGATACGTTCAGCGCCGAGACGGACGGCAGAAAACCCGTTGGAAAATTACAACAGCAGCAGCAGCGGCGGCTGAAAAAAAGGTGTCGAGACGTCGAATTGTCGAGTTTATTGTAAAGCAGACGCGAGTGCGCAACGCTTTTCTATTTTCGCCTCAAGTGCAGCCCCAGTCTCAGCACAAAATCCTACAAGAAAAATAAATAAATAAAGAAAAGACACAGAAATCGGAAAATACATAAACACTTGACGCGTTTGTGTTGTCTTACTTTCTAAAATAAAATAAAATAAAATAAAACAAAATATATTTGCCTTGGCGCAGCCAATTTTAGTCAGCAGATTTTGTATCGCAGTCTATAATATGCTGGCCATCAAGGAGTGCCTCATTCGCGAAGGCGTCCTCAATCTGGATAGTCCCATGCACGGCTCCTCCGGCCAGCGCCACTTTCAGCTGCAGTTGAGCAAAAGCAGCGGCAATATGGATATGCCTCGCTATCGCAGTTAGTAGCACTTCATACATATTCACACAGATACAGACACAAATACAGATACATTCGTATCGCTCAGATACGAGTTGTACATTTGCAATTTGTACACACATATACTTCGTTTTGTTTACGCAGATGCCCTGTAAGTGAGTGTTAGGTGGGGATGGGGACAGTATCCAATGACCATATATCTTATGTAAACAGCAGGTGTGCCATATCGCGAATTCTGTGGAAATAGTTCAATATCCAAGTGGATTAGGTTTTGTTTTTCGCCATGCAGTTGGTTTTATTGCTATTTAAAGATTAGTTACTTTAACAAGTGTTCATATAGCAAACTCTTGGTATTGATTACAATCGCATTAATTCGAGGGTATTCCTCAGTCGCATACCACCTCTATCTGCTGTATGTGGTATATCACTTGATATTTTTAGATTCTGGCGTCGTCGTCTCGTCCATCGTCGTCCAGCTATCTCAGGAATTTCTTTTGTTTAATAACTGTTAATGATTTGTGTTGCTTTTCTTTTTACCTACAAATTGTTGTAATATAGACTCGCCCCAGTCGCACCCTTTCTACCCATGTGTTTGTATGGCACATCTTTTTTTTTAGCCCTTGATAAAAAGGTTCAAAAGTCAGGCCCAAAATCGAACAGTTTGTGTCATTTGTTTGTTCTTATTGTAGGTTGTTATTCAATTTTGATTGCTTTTGGATATTTTCTTATGGTATTAAAACCTTGATGTATGACAACTTTATATTGTTATAAAGGGCTTAAGGGCCCAACCAAGCAATGTTCCAATCAAAGGTCACTTGCAAATTACCTTAAAGTTACCAAATAGAACAGCAAATAAATAGTTTGGAAGTACCACAACAATCCAACAGCATTATTTTTGCATTTTGTGCTTAGATTAATTGTTGAATATCGTATAAATACAAATTAACGATTAGCGACTAGCTCATTTAGCATTGCCAACGCTTACTTAATTCATAGGTTAGTCTATTAACTTGAATTATTCCCAGATAATTTCATCTTTCGTAGTAAATAGCAAAACCCAAAAAAAAAAAAAAATGATATAAATGTTAAAATAAATAAACATGTCTCTTTGATAAAGCTAGTCCCAGCTTAGGTTTGCCTAGATCTTCATACAAATTTAACTGATTTGGCAAAAAAAGCGTCTTTGACTGGGGCTTAATTTGTTTGTCAAAATCATGGCAGAAATGGAATTGACTTGTAAGGGAGTACTGTGTTCCTGGTAACTGCCCCTTATAAATTTCAAAACAAATATTCTTCTATGACTTTAATGATTGCAAATAAATCGCTTTTCATTCGTGTGAAGTTATATACAAAACATGTGTTTTACAACATATTGGTACTTCGTAAGTGCGATATATTTAAAAATATAACACACTTCCGAAGAGGTTGCCAGTTAGTAGACAATGCAGAGCCCGATATCGATATGGATGTAGATATGATGGGCCACTCTCTGCGAGTTGTTAATAATTAATATTGTTCATTGCATTGGCAGGCGATACAAAAAACTTGAATGTTATTTTTAGAGTGGAGCAGCTAAGGTGGGGAGGGGGACAAATGAAAAAGAGGCTGTTGGAGGCATAGTCTGTCTGTCTGCCACTTGACGACGATGTGGGCAGTTTGCCCTTGCGTTCAAAAATAAGACTGCAACTGTAAACAGGGGCAAGTCGAAACGGAAAAATAAATGCAGCTTGTACGTTTATTGATTTAACTTTTTGCTGCAACAAAATGTTTGCCGCAAGTTTTCACCCAGCCTGACAATTTGATGTGAATGCGAGGCATGTTTAAGCCGCTGTTTTTTTAGACTAAGTTTTAGCTTCTGTATGCCTGTGTTTCTCTCTTCACTTTCCATATTAATTATGCAACCCGTGGCAAAAAAAAACAATCGATCAATCAGCTTGCCACATGCGGCAGCAACAAGCGGCAGAAACGTTTGGTAATAAGTCGAAGCCACAAAAATGTTGTACAACCGATTGTGACTGCAGTTGTTGTTGTTGTTTTTAGCAGTTGTGTTACGCGAAATCAACTCTCGGTTTTTATACCCACTAAAAATGGGTAAAAAAAAGTATATTGTTTTTGTGCAAATGTATGTAAAAGGCAAAAGGAAGCTACTCCGACCACAAAAAGTATATATAATGTTAATCAGCATCAATAGCCGAGTCGATCTAGCCATGTCCGTCTGCCTGTCCGTCTGTCCGTATGTATATACGCAAGGATCTCAGAACCTATAAGAGCTGGAGAAATTGTATATGTAGGTGCTCCTAGTGCTTGCGCAGATCAAGTTTGTGTCCGATAATCGATAGCTTACTACGTTTCCAAGCAATCGATAAAAATCGATATCGATATCCTGTTTTTTGGGCAATTTTGGTAAATAATAAGAGCTAGAGTCACCAAACTTGACATATAGCTTCTAAAATAGAATATATATATGCATTTGATGTTCGAAGAAGAGGGTTCAGGGTAGTCTGGAGCTCCCGACTAGAACCTCTTGCTTGTTTTTATTTTTTTATTTTTGGCTGGTGTAGCTGTTGAATAGAGTCGTCAGCAAGTATTGTGGTCAATTGCGAATTTAAACCCTGACAAAGGAACTATTTTTTTAATTAACCTTTATCGTTGCGCTAACTGCATTTGGTGTTGGAATAAGAGGGTTCAGGGTATTTTCCAGTCGGGAGCTCCTGAGTAGAACCCCTTGTTTTTTTTTCTGCCAGCAATTAATTGACTTTTCCGCACACAGCCAAATCGAATCGTTAACATGCAACAAAAAAACATGCAACAAAAACAAAATAGTTTGTTTAATAAACCCAAACGGCAAGCTGCCAAGAAATGTGGCAATGCATTTCTTGTGGATTCGTTTATTTATTACGATATATGTATAAGTATATATCTATTTTTTCTTGCTTTAGATTTCGCTAACCAAACTGCAGTGGAGAATTACGCGCTGGGCGTTTTATACAAATTATTACAAATATAGCGATTGCGTTAATGCACACACGATCAGCTAAAACTGCGCATGATATACTCTGTAAAAATATAAAATAATTTTAAGTTGCCTACCCAAAAGCTTATCCTGTCTACAGAAGATATTAATAAGATTTAAAATTTAATTAAGTCTCTTAGATATATAAAGGGCAGATAAGGGCAATCGTGGGCGAGCATTTGTCATAGCTTGAAATAGGCACAAATGTGTAGCTTTCAATTTTATGAACAATTGCCAGAAATGTCTATTGCCAACGCCTCCATTGCTTTTTGCCCAATAACAATCAAGGGCTTGTCAGTCCGCAACTTCAATGAAATGTCCAATACGTCCCACACATGAAGAGCCGTCCAAGCCCATTGCAGAATGCGAACTCAACTTTTAACAAACAAAAAGTACAATATAAATAATTTGAACAATTAAAACATTAAACAGTTGTTGCCTTGAATCACTCCGCACCTGCCTTCAATAAATATGGTCTGTTTCTTATGCCCAATTGCATTAATAAATAATTGAATTAAAATTCTCTATACTTTAATTGCGTTGTGGTTTTTCTTTTTATCGGAAAACTCATTCTAAGGTAATATATTTAAATATATATACCTTTCCAATTAGCGCAATTTAACCCAATTATAGCAACTACATATTATTACTAATCTGTTTTGCCGAAGCACCTGAAAAGGTTTCCGCCAATTCAAAGAAAATCTCTCAATGTTTTTATTCAACAGAATTTTATATTTGTAGTTTGTGTGGGCGCGGCTGTGGGTGGGCGTTGGTGGTCGGTTGTCGTTATAAAAAGCGTGCAACCCTCACCTCACCTTGACACAGTTTTCGGGGACGTCGCCATATTAATAAGAGTGCCCAGGTGCAATTTAATTGCTGCCAAGATTTACTTAGCAAAAGGGGAGAAGGGAGACCAAGGTGTACAAGGTGTGCAGTGGTGGTCTTCATGGACTAGGTATTTACAAAATACCTTTACTCAAATTAAGACTTGATTACAATTACTTTGAGTTCCTCTGACATTTTTTTTTTTTCACAGAAAATTTTGCGGCGTCGAGTGACTTATCCACAGCATCCGCCACTGCCAAAACCAGCTGCCAGCTACAAGTAGAGGAAAGTCAACAGCAACAACAACTATCGGACGAATCAGTTGGCTCCTCAGCTCGAGTCTCGTATCGGGGACAGCATCCGCACTTTCATCATCATACGACGCCCGCCTATTACACGGATCTGCAGCTGCGCATCCATACACCGAATGCGTCGGATGTTGGTGCGTTGAATGAGAATTATCAGAGTGTGTACAGCACTCCCAGCACTCAGCTAGTGAAGCAGCGAAACTTTCCCAAGACAAGTGCGGCCCCAGCAAATCAACGAGCAACGTTTTTTCGACTTGGCGACTCTGTGTCCACAGGGAAAAGCAACGGAAGCAGCAGCAGCAGCAAGGAACGCTGCGCCAAATCCTTGCCGCCCTCTGTGAACCCTACAAAAGGTGAAGAAGTTAGCCGAACCGAATCCTCCCCCCAAAATCCTATTATTGCTAGCAATAGTAGTTGTAGATCACCAGTAGCCCCCCTGGCTAGCCCTGTAGTAGTTGCTGGTGCGTCCGGCCGCAACAGTCGCCACACACATCGCTTCCAGCAGCGCTCCAAGCGGGCCGTGCGTGTGCGCAGCGAGTCGCGTCCAATAAGCGCGCTCTACGACATAATATGCAAGGAGAAGGGCCTCGGCGTAGGCGATTCGACCACGACCAGCGGCAGCAGCAACGAGGAGCAGCAACCGGAGGAGCAGCCAGAGCAGCAGCAGCAAAAGGAGTTGGACAAAAGCGACAAGCTGGCGACCTTTTGGCCCTTGCATCACCAATTCCACAGACCTTCAATGAGCAGCGTTAACAGAAACCCGAAATCGGAGCAGTCGGATAAGCGCCAGCAGCTGACCAAACAGAAACGCATTTGCGCCTCAGCTGAAGCCGCCGGCTCCACGGATGACAACGACGATGAATCGCCCTATGCGCTACACTCTAGTCAGAAGACAACCAATCTGGGTCTGAGCAAGGCCAACTCGCTGCCGCCCTCAGAGTCAATGTCGAGCTACCTCAAGCAACATGGGCAGCCCCAGCTCAAACTCCAATTGGCGCAGCCCCAGCTCCAGTCGGCTTCGGCCATGCCAGCAGTTCATCTGTTGGAGGATCCACCATTGACGCATGAGCGTGCGGCCAAGAGCCTGGAGCCAGCTGCAAGGATAACATCTTCGGCCTCGCAGCTGGTGATGAGCTACATGGACGGCCAACCGTTTAGTACGGAGCGCATGTTTGTGGAGCCACCGAAGCTGTCGCTACCGGAGCTTAACCGTCGGGTCAGCAGCAAGAAGCAGCTGGACGCGGACGAGCAGCATGAATTGACTTCCACGACTTACAAGGAGGGCGAGGTCTTGGAGACGCTCGCCCGCTGGCAACAGGAGTTGAGCTCCACCAATGACAAGTCCGCGCAGTTTTTACACGGTGCTATTGGTCACAATCATCATCATCCCTATCAGCGCGAACATCATTATCATGAACTGTCTGCATCTCCCGCACCATCTGACCATCTGTATCCCGTGGCACTAGAAGATCCTCAACAGACCCAGACCCAGTCTCAGCCTCAGTCGCAATCAACTCATCACCATCACCAAGCGACCAACGCACGCAGGTAAGTGCCACTTCCTATAGTTATCTGCATTTACATCTCTACTGACTGACTAACTGATAACTGATTGATGATCAACGCACAACTCAAACCGTAAGAGTTAGGAAGCTGTAAATTTCACTGTGCTTAGCTTATATTGTGGAACGGTACGTGAAAACGGGGATTCGGGAAATTCCACCCCCATGTGTTAAAATCGTTTGTATGTAACTTTCATCCGATCAGCCTGAAACTCATTTTCAAAGATCTTTGTTCAAATGTCTCTGAGGCGTGTTTCATACTTTTCGAAAAAATGAGGTTTATTTTTTAAGTTTGTCATTTTGAATAAAAGTGAAATTATCAGTCGTCGCGCTAACTTGTAGATGAACTATTTTCGCTTTAATAAATTGTATTCAATTGTGCTTGGAGCTGGGTCACAAATCTTCACCAGACATTGTTACACAATTTAATGGCGGGCCCCCAAAACAACTCATCAGAAACAACAACAACTCAGATCTTGTTAACAAGCCAAAGCTGTGTATTGTTCAATTTGTTGGTAATAATGCGCTTTTATGTGGTCCATGGTTTTGTTTTGAGATTTCCATGTTAGATCTTTCGGACATCTTCACCGTGGCGAGTGCGAACCGACATCTCCATCAATTATAATGGGATACATCAAAACCAATGGCGCATTGACGCTGTTAGCCACTGACCCCGACGCCGACACCCAAGAGCCCAAGCCCCGGAACCCGCCTTTAGAAAGCACCTGTTGAACACCCAAGACTGAAGCTGACAAACCGACAAACCGAAAACCGGGCGACAAGTTTTCCATAGGCCGTCCGCCGGCTTTCGCTACAAAAATTCCTCATAAAAGCGACTACAAACATCCAAAAAAATATCTATATATATAAAATAAAAAACAAGCAAAAGAAAGAGTGGAAGATTGTCAAAAAAAATGCATTCAGCGTAGAATTTGAGCTAAGAAAATTTGAATGCGTTCAATTAAGCTTGGAATTTATTGAGCCCGTCCCGGCCTAGTCTCTGAAAGACACCTGCAGTGCTCAGGCCTTAGCCATCTCTCGACTATTTACTTATGACCAAGTCGAGACCAAGTCGGGCTTGGCCTAGGTATTGCGTCTCGCTGTCTGGCGGCTTCTTTTAGTCCTGATTTCGCTTTCTGGCAGCTGCAGCTGTGCAGCCGAAAATGTGACCAACCGGTTCCTGCTGCTGCTGTCGGTGCATCACTTTTCCTTTTTTCCAAAAGCTTTTCCTTGGCTCTCTCAGTCAACTAGATGGAAAGTTCTTTTTCCAAATGCATTCAACAGCTGGCTGTCAAATCTTTCTACCTGTAAGTATTTAAGTCTTGAACATTTCCGTTTGGCAGTTGATTAAAAACGTCTGAAAAAATGACGTTAATGAAGATAAAGTTGTGGCTGGCTCTCTAGATTCGACTACTCTTTAAAATTATGCCCTAACATCTAGAAGTTGTTTGAGTTTGAATAGGGATTTTGAAAAATATCTAAAGAATTATTCCGAAATGTATCCTACCTGCTGCTTTAGTTAATGAACCTATACCCTAACATCTAAATGTTTTTTGGGATTGAGCAGGGATTCGACGGTTTTTAAAAGTATCTCAAGACAGTTTACTAAATAACAAGTAAGAGTTTTTTAGTCGGCAGCTCCCGACTAGGGGATACCCTGAACCCTCTTCTTCCAACATAAAATGCATATATATATTCTATTTTAGAAGCTATATGTCAAGTTTGGTGACTCTAGCGCTTATTATTTACCAAAATTGCCCAAAAAACAGGATATGGATATCGATTTTTATCGATTGCTAGGAAACGGAGTAAGTTATCGATTATCGGAAATAAACTCGATCTGCGCGGGAACTAGGAGCACCTACATCTAAAATTTCAAATTTCTCTAGCTCTTATAGGTTCTGAAATCCTTGCGTTCATACATACGGACGGACGGACGGACGGACAGACAGATGGACATGGCTAGATCGACTCGGCTATTGATGCTGATCAAGAATATATATACTTTATGGGGTCGGAGATGCCTCCCTCTGCCTGTTTCATACATTTAGATACAATATACCCTTATACCCATTTTTAATGGGTTCAGGGTATAAAAATCCTGTTCTGAAATGTATTCTAGTTTCTCCAGTTAATGAACCCATATCCTAGCATTTATATGTTGTTTTGGTTTGGGCAGGGATTTTGAAAAGTATCTTTAGACAGTTAACTAAGTCAAGTTACTGTGCTCAATTATTTCGGAAATTTATCCTATCTCCTTCAGTTGAACCTGAATGTCGCGACATTTTCATGAGCTGCTTTGTGATTTTAAAAATCAGTTTATTGACCGACCGACCGACCGACTGACTGACTGCGTGAACAGTGAACTGCAGGAAATCAGATGCTGACCATTTGCAGCGTAGTTTCAGCTAAATAGGTATCATTTACATGACAGACAGTAAACAGTCGACATTTGGATACTTTTTGTATCTTTTATTTTGACTACCTGCCCAAAAGTAAATAGCTTGTTGCGCTTTGTTCTTGATGTGTTGCTGCGACGCACACTTAAAGATAAAAGATACACAACGGCCGGAACAACACGACACAAATTGTGCTTATTTCGAATACTCAGCTACCTGTGCCCGAGTACAAGCATCTTTTGTATGTGCGAATTTTCGCTCTTTTCACTGTTTGCGGCTTGAGTGCGTTTTTGAGTTAATTTGTAGCTAGACTGTCTGAGTGTATCTGCAAGATACAAGCACACACACACGCACACAATATGCGGCGGCAAAAACCCAAAAAACCTCTTGTTATTAGCTTCGCTTGCCGCTTGTTGTTGTAGTCAATGTTGTTGTTGTCATTGTTGTTGTTGTCGTTCCGTTCGCTCGAGCTTGGGTTAACAGAGATACTTTCGGTTTGGCCGTCGGCAGTTGTTGAGCGTGTTTGAAGGCGTCTAGCTGTGTGCCGCATCTAGCGGAACGCAAATCCAAAAACTGTTTTTCATATCCATTGCAATTTTTATCCAACCGATAACTCAGCTTGATATTTGACAGATACATTCACCAGCTGGCACCATGTAAATGCCTTATACCCCATACTCTGACACAATGTTTCTTATATTATTTTTTGTCTCTCGCCTGCAGATTCATAACTCGGACGCCGCGCTCCGGCAGCCGTCAAAGTGCAGGCCACTCGTCGCCGCCACCGCCAGCCGGCTATCACAGCGACTCATCCTACAGCTCGCCATCGCCCACACGTAGACACCACCCAGCAACAACTACAATAGCTGCAACAGACGTAATTGCAACCGATCCGCAATCCTCGGCGAACGGCAACAGCTCCGCTTATGAGACGGCAGCCACCTCTGTGATGACACATGCCAAGCCGGCGCCAGATCAGTTGCAGGCCGGGCACATTGAAGTTCCTAAGACCACGTCACCAGCTTCTCAGACAAACGCAACGACCGTCGTAAGCACACGGCCCCCATCCATCAACTCAGGTGAGTTTTTATGTGGAGCATATTCCATATTCTATAGATATATTTGCTTTGTGTCCGTGTTTGCGTACGTCCTTTTGTTGTCTCCCTTGTTTGTCATTTATTTTCTTGTCTGTTGCATTCTTATCTATTAACTTTTGCATATTATCTGTCATAGTATAAATGCTTATTTTTCTAGGCTGCAGCTAATTAACGACTTCTCCTCCCATCCTCATGGCTATTTTTATATAAATCTTATTTTAAGGCATTGAAAAGTATTCTCTACTTTCAGTCTGTAACTTTAGGGTTTTCCAATGATCTCTCCATTGCCAAGAACATCCTTTCTTTATTTTATCATCTGCTTATTCAAATCTTACCCCTCTGCAGCTCTTGATCTTTACTCTGATTCAGTTTTTGTCGAAAAAGCTTTCCCACTAAACAATAAACACCATAATTAGCCGTAAAGGTGCGCTGTCAACGTTTTAAACTGAAAATTAGCTGAACTCTCGTCGAGTCGCAGAAACTACTTGAAAATAATACCACGTTTCTTTCGAGCACTTAAAAGTAATTTGAACCAAATTAGATCTTATACAGCTTTTGCCAATCAAGCGAAAATGCTTGCCATACAAATTCGCAAAGACCTTCGAACTAAAAGCTACAAAAAAAATATAAAAATAGAAATAAATAATCTATACACCTGCACAACTTTCAATCGATTCGTATCGGGTTAATGTCCGAAAATTACATAAAAAAAATAATTTGCACAATTTCAAAAAATTGCAGTTTAAGCAATTTGGTTTTTATCGAATTTTATCTATAGATCTAAAAATTAGTTTTGCAATATTGAATATTTTTGCTATTATAAAATCCTTCAGTAATAAATAGCTACTCCACAAAACCAGATCTCAGGCAACTTAGGCAACCCCTCATAAAACTATAAAAAATAATTAATAAAGGTATACCACAAACTGTCCCCAACTTAATTTAAATTTCATTTCAGACAAACTAACGTTTCATTCATTCAAAGTTTTGCCATCTTTTTATTATCAATTTGTAAAAGAGGGCTCTCATAACAGGGCTCTCATAACAGGGCACAGCTTGAGAAAGTGTCTGAAGACTTGATACATTTACATATTCGATCTGCTGGAAAATTTAAATGATTTGATACGTTAAATTATTATTTTTTTTTTTGCCTCACCAAAAAGTTCTTAATAATAAATAAATAAATTGTTAGTTCAAAAAGGGTTTAAGTCAAATTTTCCAAGCCGGCTTCTTTTCTTTTATTATTTACCCATTTTGCAACATTATTTTTCCTATAATTTTTATACGCTGAACCCATTAAAAATGGTATATTGGTATATTGTGTTTGTGCAAAATCCAAATGTATGTAACAGGCAGAAGGAAGTATGTCCGACCCCATAAAGTATACATATTCTTGATCAGCACCAATGTCTGTCCGTCTGTCCGTTTGTATGTACGCAAGGAATTCAGAACCTATAAGAGCTAGAGACTTGAAATTTTAGATGTAGGTGCTCCTAGTGCCTACACAGCTCGAATTTGCTTCGGATAATCGATAACTTACTTCGTTTCCAAGCAATTGATAAAAATCGATATCGATATCCTGTTTTTGTTTGCACTTTTGGTAAATAATAAGAGCTAGAGTCACCAAACTTGACATATAGCTTCTAAAATAGAATATATATATGCATTTGATGTTGAAAGAAGAGGGTTCAGGGTATCCCCTAGTCGGGAGCTCCCGACTAGAACCTCTTACTTGTTGGGCTTGATGCCCATTTCAACATTATTGTTTGGACTTATCCGATATTAATTTCTTTTCTTTGTTTATTTTGTCTGTGGTTGCCACATGAAACCGGCGGCAAGTTTTTTTTTTTGGGAATTGTGTTTAGGGCAATGTTCGAGCCAAAAAGTTTACTGATCTTTGACTGCCGAACAGTCAGAAGTGGCAATGAACCGAAGCTTTTCGTCAGCTTGTTTCTCTTCATTTAGAAGTTTACCTAAGTCGAATGGGCAGACGATCGGAGAGGTGATAGATAGGGAAAAACAATGATATATTGTTAATATTTTCAGTTTTGGCCATGGCCAAATGCTGAGTTCATCAGCACTTAAAAAATGCACAGCTTTCGCCAGTTATAACATCGTTTTCTTTCAACGAAAATAAAAGCCAGTTGCGAACAGATCGCATCGATCAATCCATCAATCAATCGCCGTGTGCTACGCCCTGTTGCTACCTATATTTCATATGTTGCAATTGACGCGTGTATTTTCTACATAAAAGTGGGGATTTATAGTTAAATTTGCTGGATAAATTCACTCGACCATTTTCTGATCGTGAACTAAGTCGGTCAGTTAGTTCACTCATTTAGTTATTGTTAGATATAGTCAGTAGTTGTTTTCAGTTTCAAAACATATCATATATTTATGCTTAATATACTTTTACATTGATAGTAAGTACATATATCTCAACAAATCGAAAGTGAACTTAAAATCTCGGTATTTTTGTTGTTCATTAAAAACTGAACATCTCAATAAAATGTATACTGAATAAGGGAACGAACTGAACTAACTGTTCGTTCACTAATCCCTGAATAAGTTCAGTAATGACCCGATCAAGTGTGAACTAAATTACTGATTTAGTTCTCTAATGCCTTAATTCGTTTAATAGTTCATTTTGGTGGCGCGTTCAATTGTGAACTAATTTACCGATTAAGTTCATTAGTTTATTTTAAGATACCGTTCAATTAAGGCAACTCTAGTCTACATATTTCGCAAACACTCACAAACACGCTCACACACACGCGACACAACAGCAAATAACCAGATTACAATTGCTTTAATGTCTTCCAAACATACATGTTCATTCATGCATATCCTTGAAAACATGTCAACTGCTGCGACACAGCGAGCTACAACACAGTTTCCTTTGGAAGCGCCAACAACAAACGCAGCATTCATTTCACCTGCAACAACAACAACAACATCAGCAGCAGCAGCAACAGCCGCAGTCGCAGCAACAATAACAGTCAACTGCAACATTGCCGCATTTTTAGTCAGACCACGCCCATGCCGCCTCTCGCCACGCCAATAATTGTGCTCAAAGCAACGGCATTAACAGCAGTTCCAGCATCGACGCCGGCAGCAACGCCGACAGCAGCGTCACCTTCCAAGCGGCGCAAAAATTTGCTGTCGCCGCTGCGCATTGTCGGCACGTACACGTCCACGTCCGCAGCCACGCCCCCGCAGAGCAGTCCACTCTTGAGCAGCTCCTCATCCTCGTCCCAATCCTCGCCAGCGGTGCGTACCACTAAAGCCAGTCGACTGCGTGCCGCAGCGCTCGGTGAGTCACTCACAAGTCACATTTGCCTCAGCTCCTTCCTCCCTCTACTGCACACACGCACATGATTCTTCTCATTTGGTGTTGGTTTCCTCTCCCCTTTTGTTATAGTAGTTGTTAACCTAGTCAAGCTGAAGATTCCAACTAACCGCCATATCATGCTGTCTTCCTAACCATTGCAACACACACACAACACGCCGCAGACCGCAAAAAAGAGGAGGATCAGCAGCAGCAGCGCCCACGTTTCAGTTCTCCCAGTGCTCTGCGAACGAACTCAATGCCGCCGGCTCGACGACTGAGCAGCTCGGAACTGTCGCCCAACTACAGCGGATTCAGGTCCGAGCCCAGCGGCAGTGCCGCCCGTCTGCAGCCACCGGCACGGTCCGCTTCACAGCCGTCGGAGCCCCTCGAGCGCCGTCCACTGGTGGCCACGGCCAACAACGTGATCATGAAGCAGAATCTGTGCGAGCTACACTTCACGGGCGGCATACTCAGTCCTCCGAAGGTGGAGTGCACGTTGCGCATGCGTCCCCGGAGCTCCACACTGTGCGACGAAACGGAGCATGAGAGCGGAAGTGCTGCGACGAGCAGGCCACGTGATAATCTGACCAACTCTAAACTGAGTCCCGTGCAAAAGCACAAGCAAACCGTGAGTAGTCCGTCTACAATATATAGAGTTGAAAAGAAAACCCAATTAATTTTAGCCGGAAGCCTCACCCCTGCCACGTCGCGGCGGCGATCGCGATAAATCGGCCAAGCGTAAATCAAACCTGAACCGATCCCACAATGAGGAAGCCACCAAGGATAGCGGTAAGTAGGGCACCGAGCTCGGGCAGAGTGGCAACCAGGCATAGTGGCAACCAGTGAGGAGCGAACATCCAGTAGACTGGAGCTTGGAGCTAATCGAACGGGACCATTCGTTTACACAATTCTTGCATCTTCGTCAATTTGTGTTGCACGAAAGCTTCCTGTCCATTACGTGCTCCCACTGTCATGCATGTCCCATCCAATTGATGCTTGTCTCCAGTATTTTGGGTGTTTCCTCTAATCCTTGTCTACTTTTGCTTGCAGATGAGACTGCATCTGTGCGTAGACGACGACGTCGCGAACTGGGCATGGCTCGCCCGCTGCTGCCAGGGGATGACAAGTCGCTGCGAGAGTTGCTGCAGTCGCCGCAGAAGAGCTCCTGCAGTGAGTCCACCTCCAAGTCGGAGTCGTTGCGTCAGGCACGCGGCATTAGCCAGAAGCTCAACGAGCGCACCAAAACGGAGCTGGCCGAGATCAAAAAGATTGCCGAACAGGCGCAGCAGCCAGATGAGACATGCAACGAGCAGCAGCCAGTCGATCTGAAAATGTCGCCCATACTGCGACGCAAGAGCACGGATGAGCTGGCTGCCTCGGCGGCAACAACACAGAATTCACCGCCCGCACCCAACCAGATTGTCTCCATATTGAAGAAGAAGGAGCACGCGTTCGGAGAGTGCTACTCGAGCGCTTCCAGCAATGCCTCGCCGGTAACCTTCTCCGCCACGGTGCTGGACACGCCGCTGGCGAGCAGCCGCAGCAAGCGCCAAGGCATACTGAAGAAGCGATCCAGCCTGGACGAATCGCGCTACTATTCGCGCTCCCATTCCCCGGACGAACGTAGCATTCTCATCAAGTCGGCACGTCGAAATTCACTGGAGGAGTCGGGCAGCGCCCTGAGTCCCGGCCAGGCACACGGCATCCTCAAGCAGAGCAGCTACGAAATCACCAAGAGCGAGGGCTGCCCCTCGGCAAATGAATGCCAGCCTCATAGCATATTGAAGAAGAAGGACTCGCTGTCGACGCCCTCGGATGGCTGTGCGCACATATCCAAGCATGTGTCTATCTCGCAGGCAGTTACGTTGGCCGCCGCCGAGCTAGCCGCACAGCCGATCATAGGCCCTGAGGATGGGGAGGAACATGAAATACGACCCATACTTAAGCAGGAGAGCACCTCTAGCGAGGAGGCGACGCGCCCGCCAAAGCCCATTCTCAAAAAGAAATCATTCGGTGAGGCGGACGAGCACGAGATTCGTCCCATACTCAAGAGCAGTCGCAAGAGCAGCCGCGAGGAGTTCGACCTTAATGAGGTTACCCAGGAAGCCCATGACCCGAATGCCTGTGAGGCAGCCGCCATGCGTCCCATATTGAAAACTGATTCGCCATCCAAGCGTCGCTCGCTCTGTTCCATGCAAGCTAAAGATGAGGACAGCTCGGCAAGTCTACTCAAGCGACGCACACGCTCGCTCGAGCGTCAGGATGCGCCGCCCCACATGGACCTGGCTGCCGCCTTGGATGCTATAACCAACTCGCAGGCGACAGTCACACCCCTCACGCCCATTGACCTGGCATCGACACCATCGAACATCTCGGTAGCCGAGCGCATCAAGCACATGGAAATGCTCTCGACACCCACTTCCCAATCAGCTGGCGGCGCAGCTGTTGGCATAAACAGCAGCTGGGAATCCCCGCTGCAGCACGACTCGAGCCTCACGCCAAAGCTGCTCAAGCCCAGCGTTCTGCGCCGGGATCTCTACAAGGATCGCTTCAAGACGCAGCCCGTAACCAGCGAGGAGAAGAGCTTGTAAGTTGCGAACAATTTGAAAATGTCTCCAAATCTCTCTCTCCCCCATCTGTCTCTCTCCCTATCTCCCTCTTTCTCTCCGTGTCTTGGTCTTGCTCCTTGTCAAGCTGTCAGCATTTTAATCCGCTTCGCTGGCAAAAAAATTTTCAGTCTAGATTTATGCATGGTTTATATTTAAATGTTCGAGAGCGTCAGTCGCCGTGCCCTGCTGGTCATTCGACATTCCTCTTGTTGTTATTAACCCATCAGCAAGAAAAAGCAAAAAGGCCCTAAGCTGTACGCTAGAGACTTACCTTATTGCAAGACTGTTGACAAACCGAAAATGTAACTACGATTGCCATAAGGCTTAATCGAGGTTCAACATTATTGTTATACCCTTGCAGCGAGTATTATCGTTTTGGATGGACACATCTTTGACCCCATAACGTTTAAAGCTATCGTCATGAAATTTTGCAGAAGTTTCTCTTTCTGCTGCACGCAGTAGATGTGTCGGGACGATCGGTCTAAAATTGGGTTGTATGAAAATTGTTTTATTTTTCAATATATCTTGACAATGCTCGTCATTAACTATTTTCTCTGTGCTTCTTAGATACGGGCCAAGTATTATGAGCATTATGAAAAGGTTGGGTCTGCAAGGGTATTAAATCTTCGGCATGCCGAAGATTGCCCCTCTTTTTCGTTTTTTATTAGTCTCATTTTGCTGTGGCCTTTTTTTGTTTTTATTGTAGCTTTAAGCAGCTTATAGCTTGTTTAATTACCTGACTGACCACCGATGTCAACTGCCAACTGTGCTGCAGTGCTTCAGTAAAGCCTGAAAAAAGCAGGTCGTTTGCTGAGAGTCACTTGAAGGGATTTGAGTGGGTTGCATTTGAGGGCTATTCTCAGATAACTTTGATTACATTTCAAAATGACTACCCGCAATATCTTTAGAACAATAATTGGCTTTTCGTGTGAACACGAGTTCACTTTGGAGGTGGTGCAATTAGCCTGACCCAAGGTCATGCTATCATTTCGGCAATTAGTATGTACACGCCCATACCTAGAAACGTCAAATCACGCCCTTTTTTTCAACTTGACTGTTTTGGCAAATTTTTGACAAGTTCATGTTGTTGGCACGTTCGTAAACCCAGTTTCCAGATAACTATTTTAGACTAGGTACGACTGGAATCGAGCCGGCACCTTCTGGTGAGTGGCCAATTCTTTTAACGGGGTTTTCGTGTCAGTATTTTATGTGTTTTGGCTTTTGTTCCGCTGCCACACCCCTTGTTTTCTGACAAACAAAACAAAAGCTGGTTCTGGTTATTTGCATCAGTTGTTCTAAGTATGTTCTTTGCCCATTAAAAAAAACCAGAGTATACGAAAGTTATACAGAGGTACAACGAACGCAGGTAAATCATCTAAATGTCGAAAGTTGTATAAATAAAATCAAGAGTAGAGTTTATTGGGACGTAGATCTGTAGGACGTAGATCTGTAGATCTAGAACACATAACTTGCTATAAAAATCGGACTCTTATTTTTAAAATGTTCATATGAGGCTTACAACATTTTAGAAATTGACCAAGATCCACGGTCTGCTAAGGTATTTAAACTTCGGCTATCACAAAGTACAACTCTCTTTAAATGTTTTTATCTTTCGGAGTTTATTGGGACGTAGATCTGCAGAAGCTGCAACACATAACTTTGCTTAAGAACCCGTTTCGAATTCTACCCTTTTTTGAGGCTTTCAAAATGTTTGGGTAGGGTATATAAGATTCGGCCATCAAAACATGACTCTTATTGTTTATATTTTTCGCACTCTGTCACATTTGCATGTGCCGATCCGATCCGCTGCGGTGTCAATAGCTTGGCGAACCATTGTGACGCGTAATTTATGCTATCCGTATTTGCCATCCCTCCTGATGGCGTCTCTCAAGGTTCTTGGGCTTTGAATTGTGGACGTGTCGTTGCAATATACATTGCATTCAGTTGGCTGCCGCATTCGGACACGTCCAGAGATACATAACACCTGGCTCGGTCGGGGGTTGAGCTCTGTTGTTTTAATGTTGTTCCAGCGTCGACCCAGCGGGAAAATGTTTGAGGCGTATTTCAGAAAACGGTATATGGAAAAGCGAAATGCGAAATGGAAATGCAAGCCATAAAAAGTCATCGACACGTCGATAAATGCGTCATTGAGTGGGTTTGTCAAAGGTGTGAGGATGAGTCGCGTTTTAATGGCCAATACTTTGGCAGAAATTAGCCAGATAACGTTAACGCTGTCAAGGGCCGATGTGCTACAAGTGAACATGTGTTGTCTAATGATTAATATTATTATCTACACGATTACGTAACAAAAGTATGCGACCAACATGGATTTTGAAACTCCTAGATTAGATAGCTGCATCGGCTCTGGTAATACATGGGTATTTAACGGTGAACATTCGTACTTTAAATAAAGAAATAGGAATTTATTTGCTATGATAATTCCTATATGCGATTATTCCAAACGTTGTTTCTTATAGGCTGTTCTGTTCAAGAGAAAATCCGAGAAATCGAATGAAAAGTGTACACCGACATTTTAAAATAATAAAAAATAGAGGGAAAACGAAACAGGGATTTATTTAAAAAAATATAAGCGATAAAAGCTCGAGTATAGTAATATATGATAATATAAAAACGAACTCTTCCATTTAATTTCTCTTTGGCGGTCGGAAGAGAAAAACCAAATGAAAAGCTTACAGCGACATTTGAAAATTGTGGAAAATAAAGGGAAAAATATCGTACGAAAATAAACATACGTTTGTATTGTGTTCGTACATATATACATATGAAGACCATGCGCAATAAAAAGAAAACAAAGTTGAAAATAATTTAAATTTTGCTGTGGTCGCACCGGCAGAGCAGCCGACGGCGACGGCGACTTCGACTGAGGCATCGGCAGCGGCGCCGTTGATCGTCGGCTCCGCTTTGGGCGCTTTGTTTGTATGAATTTTGCGCTCAGTTGCTCGCGATCGCCTTTTCAATTTTCACGTACGCATCCGCTGAAAATTCGTTTTTCATATCGGGGAAAATCCTGTGTGAAATGTGTGTGTGTCAAGTGTTTATCGTTAACAACGCCACAAAAGAAAATAAATAGTAAATGGTAATAAAAGCAATTTGAAACCGAAACTGATAAAACTATCAAATCTATCGGTTCTGTCGGCTCTTATCAGCCCACCTCAAGAACTAGACATAGGTGAAAAGAATAACGAAGGTGTCGCCAGTTGCTTTGTGCACCGGTTATCGGAAAGTACCCAAAGGAATAGGCATTCGCCCATTTTGCCGGAGGGCCCAAAACGCGTGTTAATCTTGGCCATAGGTAGTTACACACAAAACCAATAGAAAAGCTTTGCCACAAGCAGCATTTCGTAATGCTTCTAAAAATAAATCCATGGAAATGTGCACTCAGATGGAAATACACGCACACATAATACATTTTCAAGTGCCGTTCAAACAGTCAACAAATTTAGTGAAATTTGCACAAAATACACAAATATATATATTAAAAAAATAATGCTTTATTAATTTCAACAAAAGTGCCAAATTCAATATATTTTCAGTGCTTCGTATACTCTTTAAAAAACGAATAAAATTTTATGTCACATATATACATATATTCATGTGTCCACGACTATCGATTATGAGCGCAACAAGTTTCGGGCCAACGGGTTCGCGGCTAATGAGAATTTGTATTATTCCCATTTCCACATTTGCTTTTTCTCTAGTTTTTTACTCTCGTGAATTATTGCTCTCACCATGCCCACTTTAAAATCGAATTAAAACATTTCTGTTTCTGTTTTGGTTTTTATTTTGTTTGTTTATAGTTCTTTTTTTCTGTACACTGCGTAAAAAATGCGGTTAATGTTCTGTTTGGTTGATAAACTCTAGTATAATGGAGTTCTGATCTGAACAAGTTGCAGATGCGTTTCTAAATATGGATCGTTAGATATCTCTTCGTGACTAAAAAAATATCTCCTATACTGCATTACAATAACCTCAGCCAGAGCATAAAATTAGACACACTTTTTGCTCTCAGCAAAAACACATTCGCTTCTAATCTATGAAGTTAATTGGCCACCTCAACTTTTACCTGAGGGTTGCCAATCAAAGAAGCGCGACATTCAAATTTCACCATTAATGAGAAAGAGGGGCTATTTTCGCCACGCCGTAGATTTAATACCCTTGCAGAGCAAACCTTATAATACTGTTCATAATGCTTTGCCCGTATCTAAGAAGCATTGGGAAAATAGTTAATGCCGAGTTTGGTTATGGTATCTTGGAAGAACTTAAAGTTTCTTATACAGAGTCCTACTTTTTACCCGATCGTTCCTATAACAGCTATATTATGAAAGTATTTCGCATGTATATAAGGCGCATAGTAAAACTAATAAATGCCGAGATAGGTTAAGTTCCTTAATTAAAATTATTTCGTACAATAACATATTCTTCTACCGATCGCTAATGTGCCAGCTATATGATATAGTGGTTCAATCCAGCTAGTTCCGACATAAGTAGTATGGCATGGCTAGATCGACTCGGCTATTAATACTGATCGAAAATATATATACTTTATGGGGTCGTAGATGTCTGCTTCTATGCGTTACACATATTACATATCACATTTTAATACCTGCTGTAAGGGTATAAAATGTAATTAGCGAAGGGAAAAAATATTTGTCTATAATTATGATTGCCTCTAAGAGAGAGTGAGGGATTTATACTGTGCCCAAGCTTATCTCAAATATAATCTCGAAACTTATTCAATTTGTCTGCAGCTTTAAAGCGAACTCCGCGCCATTTGACATTTCGGCAACGTCGGCCTTTAAGCCTACCAAGCCGCTGGACATTCGCGTCGGAGCGCACCTTCAGCAGCAGCAGCAACAGCAACAACAACAGCAACAACAGCCGTTAATTTCGCCTATCACCGGACAACCGTTAAGCCACGTGCCGGCCCCCCTGCTGCTCTCCTCGTCGACGCTTTCAACCGCCGGCAGCTCATACCGTTTGGCGCGCAGCTCAACGCAGCCGCTGCAGTCGCCGCGCGTTGTTCACCTCGCCGCCCAGGGTGCAGGCACTTCGCCATCCACGTCCAGTTTGATAAATTCGCCGCAGTCTCTCCTGCGCCAGCACTCGGTCAGCGTCAGCGACAGCGTCAGCCTTAGCGAACAGTTGACCGTGTCCGTGGGAAACGACAGCGAACACATCTTCGAGATGTCCGGCTTGGACAATGACTCGGCGTTGGGCGAAGATGCATCCACAGCCACCCAATCGAGCTGCATAGGCGTGGGCGTGGCACGCAGCAGCAGCGTTCGCGCGCGTGCCAACATGTTCCAGCAGTTGCAGGAGCAATCGCGCAGCCGTCGGGAGGCGGCCGGTAGAGAGCAGTTGCCGTCGCAATCGCGCTCACTGGCCAACAGTCAAGGTAAGTGTGAACGAAAACAGCAAAAATATTCCATCACAGAGATTAGCATTAGGCCATTAAGCGAAAAAGCGGGGAGAACTGCAAACTTTTTCGCAAGTCCAGCAGCTATGCGTAAAGCAACAACGGCAGCAATAACAACAACAACCACAATTATTTTAAAAAAACTAGCAAGAGACAGACATGTTTCACAATAGTTCCAAGTAACTGTTGAGGCTCGGAGTGAACTAGCTAAAAGATAACTAGTTAACCAAGCCTTAAGACAGTTACGAATTCTTAGATCCTTAGAATTGAATGAGAAAACTTATCTAAAATATTGACATTTTGCATATTTATATTTCCTTATGAACATGTTATTGATAAAATATGCTAATCCTCTAGATCATTTCTTTATGAAGATATTTCTGAATAATTGTATACGAAATATATTCAACATGTAGATATGTGCATATGTAGAGTGCATGATTTTAGGGGTATACAACTTCAGGGTAATTCTCACTTTGTTGAAAGAGTTCACTCTCTTGAACACCTTTAGTGGAAAGCAATGGGTCTCGGTCTGGTCATCACGCCACGTCAGTGAACGCTCCATGGGCGACACCTTATTTATTTCGCAAGCATTTTGTTGTTGCAGTAGTCGATGTTCTTGTTGTTGTAGAGTTGGTTCCATTATGGCCGGCATGGTTGCTGTCCAAGTTAATAAGCTGTAAAATGTGTGTCACTTGCCTAACATTTCCCTCCCTCCCGTCCGGCAATCAGCCACTAATTGAGGTTTCTACATTTCGCTGAGTAACAGACTTGGTTGAGATCGGGGTGTGAGGAGAAAGTCAAAAAAATGTATTAACTTCAAGAATTTAGATTTATCTTTATATTTTGATTATTATGTCAAACAACAGGGCTCTGATTGTTACATCAAAACATTTTTATGCATATTAAGTCATTTACAAAATAAATATTTTTAAAATGGAGCCGTTACCAGGTGCACAATCTAGTTTTAATGAAAATTTAAAGTTTCAAATTGTGATCAACGTTTTAATGGATTTTGGTTGTACGCAAAGTAAGTACAAGTACTGCGAATGCGTGAGTGAGGGCAATAGCTGAAAGGAAGTTCAGGCATATGTAGAATATACACAATTTTGTAGAGATTTATTCTAACTGTCTGTCTCTCTTCCGCAGCAACTTCTCACCACTCGCCGCCGCCGTCGGCAATAGTCGACGGTGTTGCTCTGCACACTTCGGTATTGAACGACGAATCGAGTACGCCAAATACAACGCAGGATGCAACCGATGCCGAGTTCGGTAAGTGCAGAGAGCAAAGCTAACGAGAAGCGAAAGCGAGAGAGCCGAGCTTATCTAACTTGCTCTCTTTTGCTAGTGCTGCCCTCTATACATATTTACGTTTATTTGTTCTCTCTTTTGTTTTGCGTGCCTGACATGTACGCAGCACAGCCTTGAATGCGAACATAACGAAAAGAAAAGAAAAGCAAAAAAATAATACAAATAACTGCATATTGAATGTTGTTCTTGTTGTTGTGACTGTCCCAAGTGTAAGTTAAATATTTTACTTGTTTCGTTGTTGTTGCTGTTTCATGATTTGATCGCGCCTAACTAATTGCATTCGCGTTGCTCCAAAAATGATGCAATCAGCCAAACGCTTTGCCTGGTTCAAGTAAACAATCAGCAAGAAGAAAACATGCATTAAAAAAGACAGTAAGCAAAAATAAATAATTAAAAACGCAACCAGCGCCAAATTGCGCAATGCGAACAGAGAGAATAAAACATGAACAACAAAAAACAAACAAGTAAATCAGAGGCGAAAATATATACATATGTATGTACATGCATACTAATGCATTTTTCTAATAATTTTCTTGGCATGCATTTGAATTTTAAGTTTTCTAACAAAATAATTATTGTTGCTGTTGTTGTTGTTGTTGCTGCTGCATGAACAACAAATAACAAATTTATTTTTTATTTTTTACACATGTTTTATGTAATTGAGCTTTGATATTGATTTACAGTTGCCTTTGCTCGTTCATTTGGCTAATTTTTGTTAGGTTTGGTTTCGACTTTTAGTTGCATAAACTATTCGATACCTTTTAGTACATTTAATTAAGCGTTCCTAATTTAAGTATACAAATCGATCGTACCTATGACAGCTTATTAATATAGTGGTCCGATCCAGCCGGTCGGAGGAACTAATGTAGTTTCATGATAGCTTTCAAAATGAGAGACTATTTCACATAGAAATGGACAGAGGGAGTGCCGGACGGAAAGGGCCATATTGATTCGGCTGTCGATACTGATCAAGGACATATATACTTAATGGGATCGAAGATGTGTGCTTCTATGCGTTACACATTTCGCGACAGAATCAAAATAACCTCTGCCTGTACACACTCATCGACCTCAGCATAATTAGTTTATTTCTAACCGATCCACTTTGACTCATTTTGTGGTTTATTCCTTCGACTCACTCTGTTATCGACAGAGTATTCAGTTTTGGTATTTCTAGTTGCGCACAAAGCGCGCGAAAAGAAAGAGGAAAAACTCGAAAGCTACGTTTAAAATGAAAATTCAAACAAATCAGCATCAAAGAGAACAAACAGCGAATCAGCTGCTGATGTGCGCGGACAAAAGACACATGACAAATCGCCAAGCAGACAAAAAAAAATCATAAAAAAAAGTAGACAATTTATAAAACTTTCTATGGAGAAACCAGAGCGAAGCAAAGAGTCCCATGAAAAAGTCGCGGTCAGTATTTAACGGGCGACAAATAGATACGAACGCAACGCGCAACACGTCGGATACTCATCGCAACAACAACAGCAACAACAACTTGCAACTGGCAACTTCAATTAAAATCTGCCTCATAGCGAGTAACTTGTCAGCAACAATAAGAACTTGGTGTAGTACTAAAGAGAGAGACAAAGGATGCGTAAGTGGTCCCACAGCCACGACCCCCCTCCCCCCTACTAAAAGAATATTTGTTACTCATCAACAACTCGTCCTCCCTCCTCCCTTCCCCCACATGCCAACAGAACCATCATCGTTGTCACTGGCCGAACGGCTGGCCTTCTTCAGCAGCCTGTGCGAGGGCGCCGCATGTGGCAGCGGGGGCAATACAACTTCCACGGGCGGCGCCCGCCTGCCCAGCGCCTCGCGCAGTCCGCCCTACTCCTCCATGGTGGAGCGCTCGCCACGCAGCAGCACAACGGGAAGCAGCGTCAGCGTCACACCCACGCCCATGGAATGTTCGCCCATCATACACGACCTCAAGCTGCCGCAGGAGCAGGCTCAGCTGGAGAAGGATCACCTTCACAATGGCTTCCATGAGCTTAGCCGCTCGGCCACGGCGCCGACAACAGCGACAATAACCACGCCCCTACTCGATGCCGCGCCCACCGCACCGCGGCGCCTGAGATTACGCACGGTGGGTAAGCTAGTACTGCCGGATACCTTCCTCACAGATCGCAACAAGAACAACAACAACGGCCATCGGAACAGCTGCCTTGGCCGCATGCAGACACTGGAAGACATACACATCTCAATGGGCGTGCGCACCATTGGCAAGATCAAGTCGCCGTTCATCGAGCAGCAGAAGCACCAGTCCACGCCCACGGACACATCCCAGAGCAAGTCGGCCAAGCTGGAGCACCATGACAGTGGCGACGATGGGCACGGCTCGGATTCCGGCAAGGAGAACTGTGCCGCCAACCAGCAGAAGCGAGAAGAGGAGCAGCAGGCGTCACAGACGACACAGCATATACCGGAGCTGCGTCGCAAGCTGAACCACCTGGCCCAGATCATGGTGCAACAGAAGGCGCCGCAAATAAATCGCCGCCACACGACAGAGCTGGGCGGAAGCCCGGCCGCCGGCAATCGCTCGGCGAACCGCTCGCAGGTGGACGAGCGTTTCGCCAAGTACTTCGGACTCGATGAGAGCTACAATTCGACCACGACGCTGCTCAAGACGCGCTCTATGCCCACTAAAACGCAACAGCCCCAGGAGGCGCTCAATGAGTATGTGCGTCTGCCGCAGCTGCAGGGCGGCGCCGCCAACTTTGGCTTAGGCATCAGCATTGTCCAGAGGCGTCGCGAGCTGCTTAAGCGCACGCGCGCCATGTCCTTCGAGACGTCCGCTTGTAGTGGCTGCGTCAGCCCCACGGCCATGCCCAGTCCGAAACGTGCCCATTCGCCGGTGGGCGGCAACCCATCGCGGGGGGGGCTGAATATTGCCAGCTATGAGGATATTGTGATCACGGCCGATGAGCTGCATGCGGCCGGGCAGGAGTTTAGGCGATTGTGTGGCGAGATTTTGGGCACATGAAAAATTGTAAATTTTTGGCTAACCTATTAAAATTTCACAAATTTTTCGAATTTCGAATCAAACCAACACCACCACCCCCATACCAAATACCATATTCCCCTTTCGACTAGCATTTTGTAAATTGTTGTGCTCACTCTCGGCGTCCAGAGCGCTCTTTTTTTACCCAAAAAAAAAAAAAAAAAATGAAAAAGGTGACCCATGTGATTTGTGTGATAGAAGCTCCTCCTACTCCTCAAAACGAATCGAATTAACAATAAATAAAAAAAAAAAAACAAATCCCTAAAGCGAACCGACAAAAATTATATACATGCATCGTAATCACAGTATGTTTTAATTTCCACAGTTAATTCCAGTTAATTAGGGCAAATGAAAATGTGACTAACATAAAGTTTAAGAACTTCCAGTAAAGAGTTAATAATTATGAATTAATGTTTATTATAATTTAAATAGTGTGCAACTACTTGTGTGGTTAGTTATGCCCTTTTTTTATTAATTATTTAATCATAAACGAATTGTACCTTAAATGGCATTAATAATATATTATTAAATTATTATTAAACATTTAATTTATTATTGTACTATTTAATAATAAGAATCGTTGAACAGTAAATAAATCAATATTTGTGCTTCAAGAAATTTCACTGCACTGCACGCCTTGCTAACGCCAATCTAACTTCGTTCAAGCATGCATTTTTTATTGTAATGTTTAATAATATGAATAGAACAGTAAATAAATAAATAATTGTGCTTCAACGGAATAAGTACACGTCCGCGCACTGCATGCCCTTCCATGCGCTTCTCATTTTGACAATCTAACGATCAAGCATGCAATATTTTTGTCTGAGTTTTTGTTTGTGGAACTTTTTCACATTGCGAATGTTATTTCGAAGCACTCTATAAAACTTTTCCCTTGTAATATAGGTAAGCCCGCCGAGTGTCTTAGGGGCATAATAAAGAGTGGTAAGCCCTTAGGCGGCATGGGTCGCGGTCTCATGCCCATCGATCTCAATGCGGAGCTCAAGAGTCGCCTGCAGCGCTCCACCCATGCAACTGTCTCCAATCTGCGCAAGTCGGCGACCACAGCAAATCCGACGCGAGCCGCCGGCCCAGACGAAACCGACAATAGCTCAACGAATCCGCAGCGCAACCTGGCCCAGATATTGCGTAATGTGCCCAAGGAGAATGCTGCGCAGCACGATGATACTGTCAGTTTGGTGCGTAACCTCTCCTCGATAGGTTCGCCGCATATCGCCGCCGCAGCCGATGCGGCTGCCGGCCACAATAACTGTGCCTCCGCCTCCGAAGGCGAAAGCTCCGGCGGCCGAGAGATCGAGGCCATCATTAAGAACAGCGCCGTTGCCCGACGCCGACGCCAGCAGCAGCAGCAAGAGCAACAGCAGCCAGATGGGTGAGTCTACGTCCCAGCTCGTGTCCCTCGTCAACTGCTTCCTTCTGTGCTGTACGCTGTTAATGTTCTAACCACTAGCTACTAACCGATGTTAACTAACAGTTTCACGGGTGAGCTGCAAATACACACACACACACACACACTCTCTCACACACAGCAGCAGACAGACAGTGCATCAATGTGTGTGTGTGCTCCTCAAGACTGGTTCCACGAATGTGCAATTTAAAAAATACAAAACTTTTATATTTGCAATTATACAAGAAACGAGCTGATTGATTTTGGCATACTCTGTATTCAGTTCTGACTGAATTTACAGCGGGATTCTGTTAAATTCGGTTTATGTTTCATATTCAACACACGTCGCTGTAAACTAACAGTTTCACGAGTTGGTGCCTGAGCTGTAAATACATACACACACACACGCACGCATAAACACAGCCAGATAGGCATTGCATTAATGTGTGTGTGTGCTTCTCAAGACTGGTTCTACAATTGTGTAATTCATAAACAACAAAACTTTTTACACCTAAGCAACATTTGCAATTAGAAAAACCACATGAAATGAGTTGCTTGATGTTGGCATACCCTGTATTCATTCTGGCTAAATGCACATTAGGATTCTGTTAATTTGGTTTATGTTTCATATATCAATACACATTTTATGTTTGTGTTAAACAAAAGTTTTCTTTATTGAGTCAACAATAATTCATATCAAATTTCCCGAAATAAAAAACCAGCAAAAGTTTCCTTGTCAAAGTGAAACCAGTTGCCAGATGCTATTCTTGGCGTCCCGTTCAGGCGCCTCATCAGTCACAGCAACGAAAACAACAACAACAACTTCAACTGCAGGTGCATTTCCCACAACAACAAGAACAACAACAACAACTACAACTACAACAACTAAAACAACAGCTACCAAATTTTGTGCAACAAAAACAAATGCGATAGTATATACTTTGTATAAATGCATAAATGGAAATGTTTATCATAAGTTCAGTTTGCATTGCTTTCTAAATAATTTACAAATACATACTGAAAAAAAAAATTATTTATTTTATAGACAGTTTGTTTTAAATAAAAACACAACTTTGCCACATATTTTTGCGTGACACTAACATGAATACAAATAATATCTATTAATAATAAAGTTGACAAAATCCCATTTAACTGTAGTTTGTTTTCCACTTATCATGTTGTAATACTAATAAATAAATGCCTGCATGTTCGATTAAGCTTAAAATCAAATTTGACGGCTTGTGAAGCGGCTGATCTGCCAAATGTAAAAACGGAAAAAGCGAGGTGGCAACACCCGGTCGGTTAGGTTAGGTTAACCGTGAATGTTTGTGTCTACGCTTAACAGAATTGCTCCTCATTATTGTCAGCAAATGTAGCAGCTCAAGACCTGTTGCAGTTTCAAAAGCATTGTGCCCAGTTTAAGCTCGACTGAGGAAGGCAGTCTTAAAATAAATATTTAAACTAAACTATTAATTTTTACTGGAAATAATTGATTTTTCTTAAGTGAGAATATGAAGAAAAAAAAACATTCACTGTTTGCAAAACATATTTTTAAATGTCACTTGTAATGGAGAGTTAAACATCTGCACTTTTAACAGCTGTTGCTTTGCTTCACGCACGAAATGTGTGTATGTACACACATACACTACTTCGCCGCGGTAAGCATGGAGTTTGCCGGGCGAATATGATATTCATGCTTGAGTAAATTTATAACAGAGGATTTACAGAATGTTAACATTGCATTAGCAGACTAGTTTGTTTTGTACATTCGGCGAGAGTGGACGCGTTGTGGACGACGCTCTTGTTTTCGTTTTTGTTTTCGGTTCGCGCGCGTTTTGTGCCGGTCGCAAATTGCAATTGAATTATGCAAATTTAATATTGTTTGCAAACGTTATTACTCTTGTGTGTGTGTATAACTGTTTCTTTTGTAAGGTGCATCCAACTGCACAACTAAAAACTGCACCAACAAAAACCAGCTGCAAGCGTCATTTTCGGCTGCATTTTCGCTATTCGCTTTTGTGATCAGTTCTTAATTTAATTGCATCCAATGATTGGCTTCAATTGAAAGCGCAAGTAAAAATGACAGCAAGGCAACCGTCGACTGCCTAGCACAAAATCGTGAGAGAATCTCGTGGGCTGCATCACTCTTAACACAGGTTTGTAACAACAGCGCAGACTGAAGCACTCGTCTTCTCGTTATGGGTAGTTTTTAGTACTTGAAAGAGAGAGACAGAAAGAAAAACAGAGTAAATACTATTCGAAGCTGACCAGTTTTGCACAGACTTTTTGTCGCTTCGTCCCCCCTCGTTTAGCGCCCTTCTTCGTTACCTGCTGCACCGAACTACACAAGCAGCCAGCAACAACAGTAATAATGATAAAAACAAAATACAACAACAATAAATATCCAAAAACTGTAAATCGCCTTGTTCGCTTCCATTGAAAAATTCACTGATTCAGCAATACCCGCAGCAGCAGCAGCCACGGCTCAGATTTTTGTTGTTTTTATATTCTTATTGTTTTACTTACTTTATGCTTTATGCGGCTGTTGCCTTCTTGTCGTAGTTGTTGTTGCCGTTAATTTGCACTTGGACATTTATGGTCTATTGCTTTTTGCGTATTTTTTTGTTGCTTACAGTTCTGCTGCCGATTTGTTGCCCGACTTGATTGCCGTAAATACTCTGTAACATAGTTAAGGAAGGGTATGTTGAGTTAATATGATTTCGTCTGTGTTTTTATCAAATTAAACACCATGTGTATTTATATATATTGCTAACATTGGCCGACATTGTTACAGAAATACCCTGTCACCAAGTACTGGAAGGGTATAATGATTTTAAATTTGTGGTTGTGCAGTCCATAGAAGTAGACACGCCATATGCATTATTAAAATATGTATATGATTGATCGACACAGCCATGTCCGTTCGTCTGTCTGTTAAGGGTATATCAATCTCGGCACCATTTACATGAAGTCTTTTTGTTATTGTTATTAATATTTTGGCTCAAGGTCGTCCCGTTTTAAGCATAGGTATTAATTTCTGCAATCAATCAATCACGCTCTCATTATATCTGAATAATACAACATATTCATATACAACAAATAATTCAGTTGATATTATCGCATGTTGCTTTACCGCCTTTTTATCAGACCTATCATTATTACTTTGTTTATTGTATTTCGTAATATTTTGTTTGAGCCAACCTCCAGGCAAATTAAAGAAACAATAGTAAAGTCAAATAAACACTGCAAAAACTATGCCTTTTCGCTTTCATTGAATTTGCAAAATTTGTGGTTATCGCGAAAAAAAAACACAAACAACAAATAAATAGAAAACTTAGGGTATGCCGACTTCTTTGACTTATGGGCCAGCCACTTACTTATGTATATATAATGTTAGATAAGTTTTCTATAATCAGCTTGATATGCATTGCATTATTGAAGGCGGATCGATTGTCCAAAAATAGACAAAAAAGCGACTTCTAGTTCAAATGGCACTCGCTGATAGTTCTAAATATTGGGGTTTAGTGTAAACATTTATATGGCGCAGCATTTATTCAAATGCACCCCGTACACGTCCATTCCTTATAAACCGACCTTTCCACGTTAGTGTGGTAAACGTGAGCCTCAACGCTAATGAAGCACGCCGACAATGAAAATAGAGAAATATTTTTCGGGTTAATCATTTGATGTGAGCGAGATGAAACTACATTTTCTGCATAGTAGGATGTGGTAGACGTATACTGTAAATGTATATTTAATTGTATATATTATACAAATGTAACTAACTAAAGATATTTCCCAGACGGGGGCATTCAGCTTTTAAAATTATATATGTTATCTATAGCTGTTTGAAATTCGTAGTTATAAGAGACCTATACTACTGTTTAAGAGAATCTTCTTATATGACCGGGCTTAATAATCTGTCAAAACGCAATTATTGGAATTTATATCAACAATGTTAAAGGGCATTACAGTTACGTTGCATAGACAATGTATTTTCTTGTTACGGCTCCACATACTCGAAATACTCCACATAAATATGTGACCCCGCTGCTCTCATAATTGAATATACCGACTGATCTCTGCCAGGTCCTCAGATCTCCATCGAATGCGATGATGAATTATCAACGCTTTTAATGCGTCATTCAGACGTGACCTGTGATCTGTCGATAGAGCAGCATTTCTAAAAATGGAAAGCCATTCGAGGCACAGCTAGAAAGTGGAAAATGGAGATGCAGGCGAACGGAGAAAAAAGGCTATAAATTATACGTTCCCCTCCAAAACAGAACCAGAAGCATTGGGGCATAAAGTTCTCTGGACAGAGCTATAAATACTTTTGTTGGGAAATCTTGCTGCAGTGTAATTGAAATGGATGAAGTTGTTTGCCCAACTATTCAATTCCAGTCGAACTCGAATTTTAAGTATGTTTTATTTATTTGTTTGTTTTTTTTTTTTTTCGTGTTGATTCTCTTCTCAATGCTTTATCTACAAAGTAAATTTTTAGGACAAACCTGATCTCATTTAAAAGTTATTTTACTTTTTAAACTATTACACAAGCTAATGAACTGACTCTTGACTCTTTGTTTGTTGACTCTTTGTATTGCGTCTGATTCTGTTCTGGTTATATGTTTACGAATGCTGCAGCTGTTTTGCCAGTTATGAGTAAGTATACCCTGAAATGTGCAAAAAGGTGTGAAAAGGGTATTTATGGTGCTGTGCAAATTTTGTAACAGGCAGCAGAGGTTTCTGTCTTTTTATCTTTCAGGCTAATTTCTCTAATTCTTTATTCTTTTTTTTTGTCTAACATACATTTAAGTGTGCAGAATGCCTAAAAGCTAAATCAACTTATGCTGGAATCAACTCGTGTTTAGGTTTATTTTCCCATTTAAAGCAAAAAAAAAAAGAAAACAAGTTTGTAATTCCATTTTCTTTGAACGATCTATTGTTTTGCTAAAACAGAAATATTAAATTACGGGGCTTGCTCTATAAATTCAATCGAATTATTGGGCAGAAAATTTTGTTTAAATATCATTCTGATTATCGACTGTGTGCATTTAATTACTTTTTAATGGGAATTAATAGCAAACAGCTGGGTAACGCTGTCGTGTAGCAATAGATACAATATCGATATTGAGTCAGTTATCGCCCTCCTCCGAGAAAGAACTATCTTGTCAAAATATCGACAGAGAGGAAAAAAAGTCAGCATCCGTGGCCTGGTACAGTGAACCTTGCGTGCAAGATTATTGCCCTGTCTGAGTTTGGCCAAGAACTGAATTGCTCAAGCCTCAGCTACGTTGCACGTTGCACGCTGTCTGAAAACTGCTCTTAAATCTGTTGATGGCCGTGTGGAGGCAAATCAGCTATTCGAATCGCTTGGAGCGAGAAAAGCGTAGACTTTGCTGTCAGCCCTTAGCAAACTCTTTGTCTGGCGACTGCTATGTATCGACCGCGTCGTTATCATCATCATGGGGCATTTACTATGTCAGCATTGTCGCCCAGTCTCTTCAAATCTCTGGTTCATTGGATCTTCTGCATCTGTGCTGTGTGCTGTTGGGTTTCCATTGTGCTGTCTGGCACTCCAAACACTTGGGAGCCAGCTTCCTTGCTACTTTCTGCTAAATATATATATACATACATACATATATATACATATATATATATATCAATTGAGCTGAGCGGTGCACGAGTCTCCATCAGTCGTGCTGTCCTATGTATATATATATATGTATATATATATATATATATATATATATATATACACATATATACTAGCGCGTATTGTCCGGCCTTGCCCGTGGTACTTATGTTATAAAATCAATGTTCTCGAATAGCATTGGAAATGATTTTGAAACTGAGCGGGACAGTAAACAAACTACTGTCATACAAACGCTTTCCGTCATTTTACCACTGTTTCGAGTGGAATTTTCCAAATCGCTGAAATACGTATTCATTATATTCTTATATAGAGCTTTGAAAATAAGTTTGATACAAATCGAACACAGCTTTTAATTCGCAAAAAATTACTTTAAAACGTACTTTCCACCGAAGGAGCTTAGATTTTGCAAAAAATATGAAACACGTCTCAAATGATTTTTCATATAGAGCTTTGAATTTGAGCGCTAAACGTCACCCACCAAATCTTTCACCCCCATTTCCACCAAGGAGGAATACATTTTTGGAAAAGTGTGAAACCCCCCTCAAAAAATGAGTTTGAACAAAGAAATTTAAAATTGAGTTTGAGGCCAATTGGATGGTAAACAAAAAAGTTGCATACAAACGTTTTTCGCGATTTTTCCATACTTGCGGGTGAAATTTCCCGAATCCCCGTCTTAACGTGCACCTTCATCACATAAGGTAACTACAGTGTAAATTTCAGCTTCATAGCTCTTACGATTTAGGCTGTGCGTTGATCACCAATGTCAGTCAGTCAGTCAGGACAAACAGTTTTATATATAGAAATGAATATACATATATATATATATATATATATATATCATATATATATACATATCAATTAAGCTGATTTGATCCGCGAGCGGGGCACGAGTCTCCATCAGTCGTGCTGTCCTATGATTAGAAGCATCTTTCTGTCGTAAACTAAGTTAATTTGAAATCAATGAATTAAATAATCTTTATAGGTTTAGGTTTTCGCTTACCCGAGTCCAGCTACCAACAGCTAGAATATTGATTCTGTTTCTAATCTATGCTTATTGAAATTATTTGACTATTTTATACCCTGAACTCATTAAAAATGGCTATAAGGGTATATTGTATTTGTGCAAAATCCAAATGTATGTAACAGGCAGAAGGAAGCATCTCCGACCCCATAAAGTGTATATATTCTTGATCAGCATCAGTAGCCGAGTCGATCTAGCCATGTTCGTCTGTCTGTCTGTCCGTCCGTCCGTATGTATAAACGCAAGGAACTCAGAACCTATAAGAGCTATAGACTTGAAATTTTAGATGTAGGTGCTCCTAGTGCCTTTGCAGATCGAGCTTGTTTCCGATAATCGATAACTTACTCTGTTTCCAAGCAATCGATATCCTGTTTTATGGGCAATTTTGGTAAATAATAAGAGCTAGAGTCACCAAACTTAACATATAGTTCTAAAATATAATATATATATGCATTTGATGTTGGAAGAAGATGGTTTAGGGTATCCCCTAGTCGGGAGCTTCCGACTAGAACCTCTTACCTGTTGTATTTAGCATTGTTAACGGAACGATTTAATTGTGTCCCTCATCTCTAGAAATATTTAAAAATGTATTCAAACGACGGTGTTTAGTAGGGACTTCATCACGCAGGAAACGCAAACTGTCAGCTGAGAGTATAACAGCGCATATGGCTGATCGATTATTGGTGACTTTGGCGCAATTAAGTTACAAGTAAAACACAATTAAAAGCAGGCAACGGCCAGCGCAACGGGCTATCCTGGAGGCGGGGCAAGTAAAAGTTGCAGCCACAAGTGAGGCGCATTACCAAAAAGAAAACATGCAAACATACACGCCTTAAAATGTGAAAATGCGAATGACCTGAATACATAGACATGTGACAGACACACACACACACACTCACACACACACTCACACACTCACACACACACACTCACACACACACTCACACACTCACACACACACACGCACACACCTGAAACAGATAGCACGGGGCACATGGGCAACACGCAGCTAGGGGCAGAGGAGGGCAAATGCCATAAAAGGGAGCAACGCCGACGATTTCCTTTTCGGTGCAGCTTGTTGTTGTTGTTGTTGTTGTTCCAGCAAAACTAGTTTTGCGTACAGCTTTTTTACAATTTATTTTGTATTTTGTTTTCTGGTTTGGGGACAACTAGCTGCACCTGCAGTTGGCCAGTTGACCAAAAACACACACAAACGCCTATTTATGGAAAGCAGTTAATTGATTTGCGGCACGTATTTATTTTGCTTAGAATATTTTTATTTTTGGTCAATTTCTTGCATTTCAACTTAAAGCTGAATAAAAACTCGTTTACTTAAAATCCAAGCACAATAATGGAGCGCATAAACCGTGCAATACCCCAGGTGGGCTGTCAAAATGCCGACTTATGTTTCATCATCGACAGCTGACAGATGAGACGTTTGATTACTTTAGCGTAAAGAAAAATGGGAAAAGTGTGCGAACTTGGTTTTAGACATTGCCTAAAGCTTGTTTAAAATAAGCAGATCTCAAATATTAATATCAATAAAAAACTCATTTCGCTTTCATGCTGATGAGTAAGTCTTTTTACTTGTTGGAGTTCTGTTCAGAAATGCAGTTAAAAGGAAAAAAAAGTAAGAGGGTCTAGTCGGGAGCTCCCGACTAGGGGATATCCTGAACCCTCTTCTTCCCACATCAAATGCATATATATATTCTATTCAAGAAGCTATATGTCAAGTCTGGTGATCATAGCTCTTATTATTTACCAAAATGGCCCAAAAAACAGGATATCGATATCGATTTTTATCGATTGTTTGGAACCGGAGTAAGTTATCGATTATCGGAAACAAACTCGATCTGCGCAGGCACGAGGAGCGCCTACATCTAAAATCTCTAGCTCTCATAGCTTCTGAAATCCTTGCGTTCATACAAACGGACAGACGGACAGACAGACAGACGGACATGGCTAGATCGACTCGGCTATTGGATCAAGAATATATATACTTTATTGGGTCGGATGTGCTTCCTTCTGCCTGTTACATACATTTGGATTCTGCACAATGACAATATACCCTTAAACCCATTTTGAATGGGTTCAGCGTATAAAAAAATTTAACAAATTATTGAAATAAAAACCTCAAATTAATACTTAATTCTGAGTACAACATGTTTGGGCTTCCCTCGCTCTATAAGATGTGAATTATTGTATTTCCTTGATTCCAGTTCATGTGGCACTTGGCTTTCTATTAATTATCACCTGTACGATATTCAGTGCAGCCAAGGCCTAATAATTTTAACATATATTTTATTGCAGTCACGTCTAAAACACCTTACACCAACTGGTTTTTAGTTTCCTTTACTTGTTCCTATTAACTGAATATAGCCAGGTCCAAGAACCTGCTTCACCGAGGCTTACTCGATTGCTATTGCCGTCCGGTATTTCCAATGAAACGCATAGAAGAATTTGTCGCAATTGTCGGATACCAAGATTAACACATATTCACATTCACGTGCAGACTAAACTGAAACTTTGCATTCCATTCGATCTTGTCGAGCTATTAAAGTCAAGCAACCTGCTTTGGGGCAACAGGTGAATGTGTGTTCAAGTCTCTCGAGCCCTACACAACCAAACTCAATAGAAATCAACAACTTTGAGATGACGCCGCCTTGGCAATCGAACATAAAAGGCAAAGACTTACCACAATAAAAGGCAAACGTGCTTCCAACTGTGACTTGGCGTGGGTTTGGTTTGCTACCTTGATGCTCTTATATAGCATATCACTTTTTAATAACATGCAGAGACTGTTAAGAAACTCCTTGAAGTTGCGGCTATTAAAATGTGCTCTGAAGATCCTATTATAAGCAGCATTATTCTTAATACGATTTGTTAAATCTCCATTTCGGTACTTAATCAGATGATTATTGCTCAATTGAGACCGAAGAGCACCTAGCTAGTTTTGAGTTCTGTTTTTGTTTTATCTTGTTTGTGGTACAATATCAATAGTTAGACAATAGTTAGTCGGGAGTTCCCGACTAGGGAAAACCCTGAACCATCTTATACCATCACCAAGTGCTGCTCGCGCTTGGCTATAGCTCAATAAAGATATTTGATATATAGTGTTCATCTCAAATATGTAAAGGCCATATACGACTTTTTATACCCTAAACCCATTAAAAATGGTTAGAGGGGGTATAATATATTTGTGCAAATGTATGTAACATTCAGAAGGAAGCATCTACATCGACGGAGATCTACATCGACGGGTTCAGGGTATAAAAAGTCGTATATGGGCCTTACATATTTGAGAGTGGTCGTATCAAACTGAGAGTTATTATTGCTGTGACAAAGTTAATCTACGTTAGTTGGGCGACTATTTGATGTCTAATATTTAATTTTTAATAAAGAACTCACAGCAGTTTTTAGGATTTAAACAGCTTGCTTAAAACATTCTTGACGCGCTGTGACATTAGTTCAACAAGTTTAAAAGCTGCTTAAACTGATCCTCCAGATTTGCTGGGCTTTCCGTTGTCACTGGCTCCGGTGTGGCTGTTGTTGGCGCCTCTGTTGTCGTTGTGGTCGTTGTGGTTGTGGTAGTTGTTGACGTGGAGCTGGTGCTGCTGGGCAATGGCTTTGGCTTGATGCGTCCATCGAGGCAGGCCTGAAGGTAGTTGTAGTTGCTGGCCGTTGACTCCACGTAAGTGCGCTCCGCCTTGTGGTTGCATTGTTCATGATGCAGATCGATCAGGCGATAGCGTTCCTGCAACAACGTAGCCGACTCCGAGGCATTTCCTGAGATGCCATACGTGGCAATGGTGTTGTTGGAACCCTAACTTGAAATTTAGCACCAGGAAGGTGAATTGGAATGGGACACTACTCACCGCTGCGGCATGACAATTGAAGGAGTCAAGTGTGCCGTTAATCTTACTGCAGACTCGTAGCGTGCCACAAACTGATTCCGCCGACTGCTCAATTCTCCTGCGCGTAGCTAGAAAGTCTTTGTCAATGCCGCGCCGTGAATTGTGCGCCTGCTGTAGACATTCGCTGTAGGCTCCACTGTACTGCTCCGCAATAAGATTCGATTCGCCAATGTAGCCAGCAAAGCAGGAGACCGAGGTCTTGGGATCGCGACGTGTCACCCGAGAGTTAAAGAACAGACGGGTTAGACCATCCTGGGTCGGCAGTCCCACATAGGGCGGTAGTGGCCTGACCACGCCCTCTGCAGAGGCGGCCAGAATCAGGGCCAGGAATAGCATCAAGTGTGTAGATCCAAGCGACATGTCCCCAGACTGGTGATTGGTAAAGCAAGTGAGATGCTTTGGCGCAGTGCGTCTGTTTTGGTCAGCTTTTATACGCCAAGACCCAAGACGTCTGCTGCCAGGCAGCTGATAAGATTTCCAGCTTATCATCTTGCGAATTTTAAAATGATGCTAGACAAATATACCTCCATCCGTTGGCTTGTTTATTTACTAATATGCTCGCAGAGCGTCATTCCACAGAGGCATATAAATGGTGTGGAAACTAAATCAGATTTAATCTACTTTCTGAATTTCAAGAAAATAAGAATTGCACTTTTATTTTCGTTTATTGTATTTATAATTTACCGCAAAGTGCCTAGAAGTGGCGCCTTTTAGATTGCATAGATGCATCACTTGTTTGCACTCATCTTGAAAAGATAAACTATAATTTATGACTTCTGCGCTCATTTGCTACACAAACACATAATTGGCCCCACTCTCCCATTCTTTCTATGCCTTTCCAGTGACGCCTAATTTTATAATCTGGCCAATGTTAGTATTGTGACTCATACCACCTAATATAGATAATGGAATGCATGTGGTTTACGCATTGCGATGAGTTGTAATCTGTGCACTCGATTGCAGTTTATACTGTATTTATAATAGATACCCTTAATAGTTGACCTTATATGTAGGCTTAAATCATTTAATATTCTATAAGAAAAACACGAAACTTCCCCGATCCCATATAAATCTTTGAGATACACCTAGCTAAGGAATCAATCGAATGCAGTTTATATTTTATTAATAATAGATACCCTGTATAGTTTCCCCTGCAGAAGGCTTATACGTAGGCTTACAATCTTTGAATGCTCTGTAAAAGGAACCCGAAACCCGATATCATATAAATCTTAAAGATACATCTAGCTAAGGAATCGTACTTTCCATTCCTATTCCAATCTCGGCTTTAAAGCTACATTCATGCCTGTTGGTGAGCGCAATATGAAGTTCATCATTGGGCTTACCTCTGGTCCTTCGGGTAGCAGCTCGTAATGTCGAATCACTTTGCTGATCAACGTTTTCATTTCGAGCATGGCAAACTTTTGGCCAATACAGTTCTTGGGCCCTGCACTGAATGGCAAATAGGCGAAGGTTTGTCGCTTGCCCTCCGCTTCCCACGTATCGTCTAGAAAGCGCTCTGGCTTAAAGCTCAACGGATCGGGAAAGTATTTGGGATCGCGATGCGCAAAGTATAGCACCAAATAGATGCTGGTGTTTGCCGGTATGGTCTGTTCACCAATCTGGAGATCCTTTCTGGTATGTCTGCCAATCGCTGGCACTGGCGGGTAGAGTCGCATTGTCTCCTTGATGACACATTCCAAATATTTGAGCTGCTGCAGTTGAGCCTGGCTGATTGGCTCCATTCGATTTTTGCCAAGCACCTGGAGCAGCTCGTCGTATAGATTCGCCTGCACCTCGGGGTGTCTGGCGAGGCAGTAGAACGCATGCGAGACTCCGCTGCTGGTGGTGTCGTCGCCCTCGAACATGAAGGTGTCCACCTCCTCGCGTATGTCCGTATCGGTGAGCGGCCTGCCTTGGATAGAAGACTGGAGCAGAATATCGAGAAGTGCCATCTGCGGCCTTCTGCCTATGTCGCCATCGCCCAGACCTGCGATAAAATAGATGGTTATTCAGCTGATGGAAATTATCTCTATCGGCTTACATAACGGTCGGTAGCTGCCGTCAGCCTTGGCACGCTCAACCGCCTCCCTTCGCTCTCGGATGACCTTGTCGGTGAAGTCATGCATGATGCGAATATCTCGCACTAGCTTCATATGCAACAATGGAGCCGTGAGTCTAAAGAGCCACTCGTAACGTTGTGAGAACTTAAACATGCGATCTGGCTGGATGTTGACGACGCTGAAAGCGAGCGAAATTATTACCTTGTAAATGTTTCCATGTAAACATGCTCTACATTTATATTATTGACCTTTAGACTCTCCACAAAATTAATTGGATTTGTCTTTGCATACTAGCGAATAGTTGAAGTTGTCTAAGGGCCGCATAGATTACCTTTTTAGCGCTTTTATATATGGAAATTCTGGATCACTTTGTGCATTCACCTGCACGCCCATTGCGGTCTCTAGGCAAACGATGTATATTATTTCCTCGGCCTAGTCATATAGTCTTATACACAAACCTGTAATAACATCCAGGGCTGCCAGCGACACGTATTTCAGCATATTCACAACATGCTTCCCATCGGCCACTGGCTGTAGTTTCTCCACCAAGACGGCGCTCTGGCTGTCCATAATGTCCACGTAATGTTCCAATATCTTAAAGTGGAACACATTTGAAAAGACTTTGCGCCTGGAGTGCCACTTTCTGCCCACGCTCAACAACAGTCCGTCGTTGAGAAAGGGGCGCAGGAACTGGTACAGCTGACCCTTCTCTAGCAGAGTGGTGCTGCTTAATATGGCCTCAAAGTGGCCTAGATCCTTGGTGTAGATCAGCGACTCGTCTAGTATCCAGAGGCGAAAGGTCGCGCCATATTTATTAAAGCAAGCGCCAACATAGTCGATGATATCTGCACGACCAAGAGAAAGTGAAGCTGCCCCGAGGGTTTCTACTCCAAGACTTACTCTCTGCACCCAGCTGCAGTGCTTGTATCCCGCAGCCCAAAAGTGGCAGCGAGAGGGGACCCGTAATGCCCGATCTCTTCAAAGTGGCGCAGCTGTGCCGCTTGCGTACAAAGTCCCAGACCAGCAGCAGGGTCAAAGCGCCAACCAGCAAGGTCAGCCACATGTTGATGATCCGCGACCGTGAAACTGCCCGAGATTACGAATTATTATTTGCCAAGAGGTTCGCTTTTAAGTTGTTCTCGGCGCAGCGTCCGCGGCTCGACTGTGCTATCTAGGGGCTAACCGGGTTAGCCCTAACCCTGGCCAGGTTCAGCCAAGCGGAGTGTGCTACGATTTTAGACTCATATTCGCTTACTTGGAACTGGTTTTGAACCGTTGTTCTCCACATTGTGCAGTCAGTTTCGAGCGGTTTAATTGACATCAGATAAGTCCGACGTTTACCTGAGTTTTTCAATGTAGAAGTTACGTGATAGTAAGGCTTAGTATATATTCAGGAAGAAACTAACATTTTTAACCTGTATTATAATCAGAAGTAATCTAATAACGTTTTTACCTAAGTTATGAATTTTATTTTATCAATATTTGAACCTACTTTTCTTGTCTTTTTCTCCGAGTGTATGTTATTAATAGTGTGCTCTCGAGCATTTAGAATGTGATTAAAATGCCGATCAGTTCGAGCTGTTCACATTACGCACAGCGATTACAAATAGACGCGACGGGGTAAATAAATAAAGCTACAACTTATTGTTTATAAATGAAGCTACAATAAATGAATTCAAAATATAAAACACGTGGAATAATTGAGTTAATACGTTAAGTTAATACGTTAAAAGAAAAATTGGTTTTTAATATACAAAAGCTTTTTCTATTTTAGCCAGGGTCAAGTAAATACGCGTTGACATTTATGTGGGGTACTACAAAACTCAGAGTACACTAGCCCACAAAATATGAAATAAAGGTTTTGTCAACCCGGCAGCGGAAAACATCGAAAAACAGATGTGGCTGGACCTGCAGTTGAATGGACTGTAGCTGCAACTGCGACGACAAACGTTGTTTTAGTTTTTGAAGTTGTTGTCGTTGCGGTTGTTGCTGTTGTTGCCGTGTTGAACTTGACGCAGAGTTCATTTGAGCTGGAAATTGGAGTGTGGACTGTGCAGAGCGAGTTAGGGGCAGACACTAGAGTACTTGTTTAGTTAGTTGGCGACCAATGAAGTCACTGCAAAGACAAGACCCGAGCGCACTTAATATGTTGGCTGCGTAGGCCGTGTCAAACAAGTTATCAAAGTGTCTACAAGTCGTGTAGTTTCAGACAACCAAACGGTAAACGGGAACGTCCTTAAAACAAACCCCATCAACGTATTAAATTCGTTGACTCACGATTTTCCCATGAAACCAACTCACAAGATTATGACTTCTTATAAGGGCAGAATCAGGCGGCGGCTTACTATCATTGGCTGGGAGCTACACTCACTGGAATAGCACGTCAGGTTTGTCTGCAGAAACAACCGAACCTAACCCAAACAGACCAAATCGAGGAACCACAAATATGCATTTAAATTAAGAACTGCACTGGAAAGAGGAACCACAAATATGCACTTAAACTAAGAACTGCACTGGAAAGAAATTTCTTCCTTCGTGCTAGGTTTGGGTGTTGCTTGTTTAAAATTTACCACGTTTGCCAAAAGTGCATTTCGTGCCATCTATTTGGTGAAAGCGCGTCATCTTCGTACCCCCATTACCCAGACTCCCTTTGCCTTCCCCAATTCCCCACCCCCCCCTCCCTTCTTCTATAAATTGAATGTTATCGACAACAAACAAAAAATGGAGTTAGTTTTGACGGCTAATGTTTGGGTTTGGTTCTTGTTACCCCGGCAACTGGCAAGCGGTAGAAAAACATGTCTGGGCTTCTTTTGAAAAGGGTTGGGAGGCACAAGGTTGAGTTTTCCACCTCTGTGGTGGTTGCTGCTTTTGAATGCAGCACGTGCTGGCAGCTCTGCGCCTGTCCGCAGTGCAGCCAATAAACTGTTCCAAAGTTGCCAAGCCAGTGACAAAATGTTGCTGACTCATATACATCTCTATATATAAAACTGTTTGTCCTGACCGACTTACTGACTGATTGGTGATTACAGCCCAAATCGTAAGAGACACTGTAGTAACCTCATGTGACGAAGGTGCACGTTAAGACGGGGTTTCGGGAAATTCCCCCTGCAACAGTGGTAAATTGGCGGAAAACATTTATATGAAAGTTCGATCAGTTTCAAAATCATTTTCAAAGCTTTTTGAGAACATTTATTTAATACGTGCCACGGGTAAGACCGGGCTATACGCGCTACTATATATATATATATGAATATGTTTACAACATGTTATTAATACAGAAAATAATTAGGCGGGTATTCCCAAAGAGAATAACGTAAATGTGAATAGATTAAAGGATACTTCTATCATTTCGTAATGAAGTCCAAAATGTTAGACTCCAATCTAGTGAGATTCATTAGGTAACATAGATCTTGAACTGAGCATAATTATATCGAACTCGTAAATAATTAAATTTAATAAAATTTGTGCCAAAATTGTTAAAAACTCAAAACGTGAACAAAACAAATAGCTGAAAGCTTGGTAGCTACGTTTTTTCCGAGTGCTCAGAGAAGGCCAGGTTAATAAAACGTTAAATGCGCAAATACTCGAACAAAAGCGAACACCAAACTGAGTGTAAGGGTGACAGGGGACTTATCAAAGATCACGTTGACGTTGTAATTTTACATAATTACGAGCATACCATTTTCTTGGGAATACCTTGGGCTGAAATCTTTTGTAATCTATTTTTTTTTTCGTTGCAAAATTTTTTTGCTAGTGCCTGCGCAGATCGAGTTTGTTTCCGATAATCGATAACTTACTCCGTTTCCAAGCAATCGATAAAAATCGATATCGTTTTTTTTGGGCAATTTTGGTAAATAATAAGAGCTAGAGTCACCAAACTTGACATATAGCTTCTAAAATAGAATATATATATGCATTTGATGTTGGAAGAAGAGGGTTCAGGGTATCCCCTAGTCGGCAGCTCCCGACTAGAACCTTTTACTTGTTTTTGTTACGATCGTTGATTTTATCATTATTGTCGCTGATATTCGGCACCTGACAGTTAACCTGAAATGCAATGTGATGGGTCCGCTTGCGGTTTTGTTGCTGCTGTATCCAATATTAACATATTATAATTAAAGGCGAACGAGCTTAGCTGATCACGGTAGCACATTTTATAGTTCGCATTAAGGCATTTGAAAAGTGCTCTTTTAAAGTTCGATATCGGTCTGCATATAAAGTCTTGAATACCTGCTCTTGTGGGAGGTTTGCCTCCATTTCATTTGCTGCGATGTCGTGCCCAATGCTCATAAAGCTTGAAAGCCACTCGACGATCAGTTTATCGCATCTAATTATTTATGCCGAGATAAACAGTTTATAAAACAATTCACTATCTCATATCATTCCAAGTCAGCGGTGCAATTTGATCGCGTGTTGTACAAAAACTTTACCAACGAACGAGAAGTGCGCCTTTTTCAATTACAAAATGATAGAGCCAGAGTCAGAGACTCGCTGGTTTCACGTGTAGATCACTAGGTAAATGCGAACAAATGATGCAACAGCTGTTGCTGTCAGTTTTCACAGTTTTTCCACAGCTTATCGGAAAGGGGATTTAAACGAGTTTGGGGGCTTTTTCTCTGGCTGGGTTATATGACGGGCTAAGCGGGCCACACCTTGGCTCACCACTCAAACTAATTGAACATCAAATTGTTTTAATATCAATTTGTGCATTAAGTGTATCAACAAAGGAAGGTCGTTTAGCTAAAACAGGAGCCCGTAAAGACCTTCGTGTGCTGCGAACTCTGACATATGACTCCATTGATTGGTTGCCTATCATCTATCCATGAATAAGGCCGTTCCCTTGTGCCCTGTCTGCATGCAATTTAAACATTACGCTTTTACTTTGATTTACACTCTAAAAAAAGACCTTCGATATATGATTTCAATACTTTTGTTTTCTAACCTATCCCTTCTTGGTGGAAATGGATGTCAAAGATTTGGTGGGTGGCGTTTCGCACTTAAATTCATTTCGAAGGATCCTTAAGAAAAATCATTTGAGACCTGTTTTACATTTTTCGCAGAATCCTCGGTAAAAAGTGCATTTCAAAGATATTTTTGGTGATTTTTTAATATTTTTTCCGATTTGCTTCAAAATTATTTTCAAAGCTCTGCATAAAAACTTAATGAATAGTAAATTGAATTTGAGACGCTTTGCTGAGCGCCACTTTCGTCATTTTGGATGTTCGACTGCGATCCATTCAAATGTATTTAAAAACTACAGCCCGAAACGCTATGTCGGCGCTCGGAGTTACGGCTACGGTTTTTATTGTGGCGTACAACCGCAACTGCTTGCCAGGAGGAGGAGGGGTGTGTGTGTGCTTAGCATGGGTGCCATGTGTAACAATATGACATGCTGTTGGCTACAGGTAGCTGGCCTATATTTGCACCTGGCAAACTTACAGAGCCGAGTGTAAACACCTTTTGACCTGCTTCGCCAGTTTGAGTGCCTGTCAATTTTTCAAATTAATATGCAATTTAACTGTCCACGTTTTGTTTTTCTATGTTTACCTGCGGCAAAATCGGCATCAGAAACCAGCTAGGTGTTGCATGCAACGCTCATTCGTCCGAAGGCATTTGCCACGTTAAGTTCACACTCTCTCTCGTGTATCTGCGGATCTGCGCACAGCTCGCACCTGGTGCAGTTAAGTGGTTATCAGTGACTCTCACACGTAGTCAAAGATCAAAGAACAAGTCACTGGCTGCAATTGTGCTCAAAACTCGACATTATAATCTACGCAAAACTCGGCTATTTGTTTGTCAGGTGACTAATGGTTGAAATATTCTGAATAGTAAATGACCATTCGAAACAACTAGCCAAAATAGAAGTGAATCAATCTCAGTTTAAGAATTCTATGCTCGAAGTATACTCTGGCCGAGTCGAGCTCTTTGTACAATCGGCTCAATCCTGAAAAGCATTATGTTGCAAGCTTTTTATGACATTAATTTTCAAATATTCCATTTATATTATATAAATATTGAATATAACAACTTACCCAAACCAAATTGACGTATTCTATTAAAATGGCTTCCTGCTATTTATAAATTATTCACCATACTCTAAAAGGAGAATGTGATCGGTAATATCTAGCGGCGATCGCTTCCTGTCTGTAAGAGTTTTATGGACAATTTTAAAAATAAGACATATCAGCTCTGGGTTTCTGGGTGCATTGCAGTGCCCATTATCGGTACGGAAAACGCTGCGTCACGATTTTGCTATTAATTAATGAAAATAATTATGCCGGGTGGAGAAAGGAAGTCCCCATTGACAGAAGACTTAGATGAAATTCTCAGTTAGTTGTATTTGTGGATGAAAGTGTTTGCTAGTAGTAGTAAGAGCTCCACACATTATGCACACTTTAACAGTTTGTCTTTGTAGTTGTCTTTGCAGCAATCTCATTGCAAAAAGCAAAAGTTACTCGGGCATAGCAGCAGCACCTAGTGGCACAGGCCCCCACCTGCCTTCAGCTGGCGCCCGTGGCTTTGTCAAGTTGCGTCATGTAGATTCCGATAAGCCGAGCACATCAACCGAGGAATCAACCCAATCGCAACCAGATAACCAAGAAGACACACTACTCAACAAAGACTCCACAGAAGACCCAGCTATAGATGTGAGTATGTACCCGACACACTGCACATTTATATACTCATTCCAATCATTCGTTATCGCCAGAATATGGGTCCCGATCAGCGCAATATTGTCAAGACTGGCTCCATTGCCGAGCGCTTGGCAGCGCTGCAGAAGAGCGGCGAGGATGACTGGAAAAGACGCGTCAACAAGCGGGATGAGGTCGATGTTATTCGACGCGAAAACTTTGTCAATGTAAGTGTACACTTTAATTATATTATAGATTTGACAGTTTTTTCCGCTTATCATCTCGAATGCGATTTCAATTCCATTCAAACTTGCGTGAAAGTGCAGTTAATGTTGCTGCATCAACGTTAACGTTGCATCAAGTTGCTAACCGAGCATTAAATACAAGCTAGTCGAAAAGTGCGAGCAGAGCAAACAACCTCATCCCACATATAGATAAAATATACCAAAATCCATAAAAGGAAAGCTAAGCTATAATAGCATAACTGAAAGTTAAATTTGAACTAAGCACACGTCGAAAAGTTTCGAAGAAAATGGTCTTTATATAGATATTTGAATATACATCTATATTATACAAGCAACTGACTACCTAACGCTAGGTGGCGCTGCCAAAAGTGCCTAGAAGTATGCATATATTTTGTTTTATCTATTATCTCTTTCTTTTTATACCCTGAACCCATTAAAAATGGGTATGAAGGTATATTGTATTTGTGCAAAATCCAAATGTTTGTAACAGGCAGAAGGAAGCATCTCCGACCCCATAAAGTATATATATTCTTGATCACAACCAATAGCCGAGTCGATCTAACCATGTTCGTCTGTCCGTATGTATGAACGCAAGGATCCCCAGAACCTATAAGAGCTAGAGACTTGAAATTTTAGATGTAGGTGCTCCTAGTGATCAAACATGATATGTTGCTTCTAGAATATTATACTTATATATGTCAAGTATGTTTCATTTCATACTACCACCTCAGAGCTATAAATCAAATTAATAACACAACTTTTATTGTCAACCAATTTAAGCCACAATTTAAATGCAATTGAAATTTTCAGAATACACAAATATTCTATGGTACAATTAGATATACTGTAGAAATGTTCATAAAGATCGGTTAAATATAAACCAAAGTTATATTCAACAGCTCAATTGGATGGGGCAGCAGCTTTAAGAATTTCTGTATACATGTACACACATTCATGCGCGTCTGCTTCGCATTCTAATAGCATGCATTGCGACTTTTTTCTGTAATGCTATTTTAGGTCCTTTTTTATCTAAGGACTTAACCAGGACTTAATAATTGGTGTGGCTGCTGAGTAGAGGCATAGCAAGTGGTGCGGTCAATAGCCAGTTCGAATCCTGCCAATTTTTAAAATTTTTTTTAAATTTATTTGATGTTGGAATAAGTGGGTTCAGGGTATTCCCTAGTCGGGAGCTCCCGACTAGAACCTCTTACTTGTTTCTTAATAATCTAATGTGTTATATTGTATGTGCCACAATTTGAAACGTGCTTGTTGTCTTTTTGATACTATTAATTTATATTTATTGCTATGTTACTTAATGTAACTGATATCTTTATATTTATATTAATTATATTTAAATATTTTTTTTAATTTTACTGTAGTCTGTCAAATTGCATGCGCTTTTTGGCGATCTAAATTCTAAAACTATTGAGGTTCCAGTGACATTGGGTTCTATACAAGCGGTAAGGTCACTTAACGCGATATCTAAAATTGAATCGAAACAGAAACTAAATAACCTGGCGCAATTGATCAGAACGTGGCCAGCAAACAACTCGTGTATCAACTTAGAGAGCAAGAGGTTGTGGTTGTATATATGGAGGTACCCTTTGCAGCAGGTGTCTGCCAACTTACTTCTGCCCATAATTTTCTTCTCTTCTAAACTACTTTGTGGGCAGCAGCGACTAAGGCAGAGGCTGAGGCTGCAAACGACACAACAACAATTATCAAATGAAAAAGGATGGAAAACAAGTCGGATAGGTTGGGCTGGGCTGGGTTGGTCTGGGCTGTTGCTTGCAGTCCAATTTTCGCTTTTGTTGTAGCTGCTTCCCTATCGTCTTTTAGTTGTTGTTGTTGATGCTGCTGCTGTTGCTGCTGGGTCCAAGTGTGGATGCATTTGATCTGTGGCTTGATCTTGAACGTGCTCATCTACCGCGCAGTTACACCCTCCCCCAAGCTTAGCCCCAACAAACTTGAGTTGGCCTCGCCTCCCCTCGACTTGCCTTTGTCTTTGCCTTTGCCTTCCTCTGGCCATTGTAAATTGTTTTGTGAACTTGATATACTTGCAGCTTTATTTTTCCTACAAATATCCCCCATGCTCTGATTCCAGTCTTCAGTGTAGTTTATTATGCTATACGTATTGTTTGCTTGCTGTTGCGATTATGTTGTTGGTTTTTTTCAGCTCGGCTGTACTTGTTCATGTTCATGCCTCCCCGAGACGGAGAATCGCAATGACAGTAGCCAGTAGTTGTTGCCTATATATAATAGTTCTAAATAGAAGACGCTCTGGCAAACTGTTCGTACCCGACTTCATATCTCCTGCACTCTGCTTGTCGCGTTTTTATCTGTATCTTTACAAGCTGCAAATATGCCAACGGCTGTTGCCGCGGCTGCTTTTTTCTGATTATTTTTATTGCCTTTATGTGATTCATTATTTTCTTTTCAACATTTCTGGCCTGTCCGTTTTAAGACAAAGATAACGTGATTCTTTATTTGTATTTTTCCTTTTAGTCTTTCTTGTCTTTATTTATTGAACTTTTGGCCACATGCATCATCTTTGATAAGTTGAATTACATTTATATGCAGGCAGTCTGAAAATTTAGTTCCGTTTCATTCATTAATGATCATTAAACTCATCACATACCCAAAATTGTAATGAATCAGCCCTTCCTACTAAATCTGCTGTTTGGAAGCTGATCTCTCACTCTCACTCTCTCCAAAGCTTGCCACTCTCCACGAAACTCTCTTCTTGCGCTCACTTTACATTAAATCTTCTCTTTTCGATCTCACTTGACGTTGTCGTTGACGCTAATCACGCTCTCTCCAGAGCCGTCTTTGATGGTCTCCAATTGGCAATTATGGTTTGCTAATCAACCCGTTGCCGCAATACGAGCCGCGACTACACGACGAGCGCTTCGCAGCTCGCATTATTTGCAGCTTTTTGGTTTACTGCTTAAACTTAGTTTCGTTATTGTTATTGTTATTGGTATGCACTTGTTTGCCGCTCGTTTTCAGTGACATTCAATTTGATAATCAGCAAATCAAAATTGACGCGTCTACCTCTCTCTTTCTCACACGCCCCATTCGCTCCGATTGCATAAAAAGTAACGCGAAGTAGTTAGTTCCCTGACTGCGAATAAGTTGCATAGACTGCCAAATGCGGCGCAGCAGGAAGCGAGTTACATAAAACCAAATAAATATATTTATGCTTTCTGCCATTTGACTTTTCTTTGGTGGTGAATATGACACATTTTACGCCGAATTTTAAAATACATATTTAAGAAAATGTGTTTCAAGGCAAATCGTTGCGCTCACATACACTCACGTACATACACTCACCTTTGAGAACTTTCTTATGTAGCCTATTCACGCCTGGCCGCAGTCTGTGACTATTACAAATTTTAACCCACGTAATGTTTTAAAAATAAATACAAGATTTCTCATCGCAAATGCTGTGTACAAATCACAGACATAAAAACGCAGAGATTACAAAAATGTTGAATGCTATATCATCAGTGATTTCTAGTAAATGCCAAATCTAGATTTCAAACTGCATTCCTTACATATAAAGGAACTGATCTTAAACTGCCGCGCACGGGAACGTATCGACAAAAAAATATATATTTTTTAATATTCTTATCTAATATTACACTCTAATTGGACATACAATATGCAATCACGAAGTGCCCTATAAAATGCCAACAAAAAAGACGCTCCAATTTGATCGCAGTTGTTTGAAAACAACAACAACTATAATGATAATTTAACCTAAAGGGCGCAAGTGCAGCCGACGCCTCAGTCACTGAAACTCTTCGAACGCGAGAGAGCGGCACAGTGTGAGAGTGGGAGCGCCAAGCGAATAGATATGTAGCAAAGTCCGTTGAGAGCCGCACAATTTATTGAAAATTGCGCTCGTCGTCGTTCAGTTAAGTTTAAGACGGGGAGCCGAAGAGAACGACCGCTGGGTGCGTCGGAATGCAAAACGCGCCTGAAAACAAAATCAAAATAAATACGAAATCAACAAAATATATTTAAACATTGTAAAAAATTAATGAAACACAGCCTTGTGAAGATATTAAATGACAGACAAAGATAAAAATGCGTTTGAATATATTTTTTATATGTGCATAAATATTGGAACAAGCTGTGCGGCTGATTGCTATCAGAACTGAAAGCACTTAACGAAAGGTGTGTGTTGCGAGTGTGTGTGGGAAAGAGAAAGGACATATCGTATATAATTTCTTTCCCGCAATCCTTCATAAAGTGCTCAATGATGTCATGGTAAATCTTATCGAAGACTGCAAAACGGTAGCAGCAAAGCGTAAAAAACCAACCAACACTTTTGTGCGAACTGAAACACACACTGCAAAATCGAAAGCCAATTTCAGCTATAACAACAACAATGACGGACTACCAGTTGTATCTGGAGACAGCCGGGCAATGGCTGAGTCATCTGCCCTACCTGCTCGTGGCCTATGTGCTGCTTACGCTGCTGCCCAAGTCGATGATGCGGATAAAGCGCTACGCGGACGCAGACTTCGAGGCAAATCGTCATAAATTCCACCGCTGCTACGGCCCTGAGCTGTGCTGCCACATCCATGCCCAAGCACTGCCTGCCAAGCAAAAGCAGCGCAAACCCGTAACGCGCGTCTATCCGAAACGACATCAGCCGCAGAGGACGGAGCAGCCAGCAGCGCCCACTGTAAAGCGCAACAATGTGACCAAGATTGCGCGCATGTTCGAGTCGGGCAATGCGACGCGGCAGGTGAGCCGCGTCACGCCGGAGATCCGGATGTTTGGCGCGAGCGAGGAGTCCGGCGAGTCGACGCCGTGCGCCTCGCGCACGGGAAGCATTGCCACGCAGCTGACGGCGCAGCTGCAGCACATCGAGCAAGCCATGCAACTGTGGCAGGAGCTGGAGGAGGAGCAGCAACAAGCTGAACATAAACGGCCAAAGGTCTGCGATTGGGAACCTATGGCGATGCCTC